CAGCCAGGCGCCATTTTGCAGGGGTAGGCGCACTAATTCAATCACCAAAGTATATCTGGGCCCCGTCTTACAAAGAGTTACGATTGATCCAAATCAATCGCAAGTTTGCAGTCTCCTATCTCTTATGCACATAGTTGCGATTGATATCCACTCTTTGTAAGACGGGGGCCTGGCTTGAGGAAGATAACATGCCTTGATTAAGAATATTAGGAGGGGATCGATCCCACGACCTACACATCTCCGGTAAGGTGTTCCAACTACCCAACTACAACACTTCAGGAATCGGTTGAACGTACCAAGTAGTAGTACCGGTATACAATTTCATTTCTATTTGTGAGATATGCGTTTTTATTTCTCTTGAAATTCCGGGCGTTCCAGTTTTAAGAGTTGCCTCTAACCCTGTAATAGGCAATGATAGCTGGATACCCCGAAATAGAATTGTAATGGCATTTATTTTAACCTCCCTGCATTTACTAACGCTAAATAAATAACAAGATAGAAAATAAAAATCTGTCTTGCATAATACGACCAGATTTAAGGTGTGTCATGTGCTTTCAGTCAAATTTAAAAATCATGTATAATATAGGCCTACGGTATATCCGTATGATGTTTAGGGGAAATTTGCAATATATTTTTGTGTAATGATTGGATGAGTGGGCTATGTCACTTTCATATCATGACGGCAACCAAAAAAAGTGATTTTATATCATTAATTTTGCACAAAAACAAAAACAGAAGCAATTTACAAAATTTAAAGTATATTAATTTAAACCTTTTTGTTAATGATTCATGAAACTTTTTACAACCAAAGTGACCAGATGCGTGTTCCGGTCTTACCATCATACCCAGATACGTCGGGCATACCTTTGCCAATTGAATGATATCACTACCATGGATACAAAATTTCCTGTTTTTTTCACTATTTCCAACCTAGCGCAACAAACGATGTTCCAATACTTCATTATCAAGAAGCTTTGTTCTTCAAAATGTATAGAGAATCGTTGATTTACATTCTAATCTAATCTTTTGACAGGGTAGCCCATTCACCAACAAGTAGTGGTCTTCCATGATGTCCATGCATCTAAATAGAAAATGAAATTCTTTTCATTAATATTCTTGAATGTGGACATATTGATTTCATGTGTGAATTTGTTTGCAATGAGTTTGACATCTCTTTCTAAAATAACCATACCAATGTATATTTAGCAACATTAATCACATGTGCTCATATCATTGAAGATCCGTCTGAACTCTTTGACAGCTGAATGGTGTATAGATAGGTTTTGCAGGGTGTGTCAAAAATGAGATGGAAAAGAAACATTTCGCAATTAAGTAAAAGAAGAAACTTCCCCCAGGACAAATGAAATGACAAGAAAGCAAGGGAATTAAAATGAAAATCCCAACTGCCCTCATGATGCAAGTTACACATCAAGGCATCAGGAGGCGAGTTGGCTCAATCGGTAAAGCCTCTGCCTGTCAAACCAAAGGCGGTGGGTTAGAATCCAACCCTGCAGGCGGATGAGCGAAGCCTGCGTTGTGTGTCAATTGCCCCTCCCCTGTTTCATAGACGCAGATTATGTTACAGTGGAGCACACTTCATCCCTCGAATAGGACGTTAAATGAAGGCCCCGCGTGTAGAGGAGAGTCGCCACCTTTGCACGTTAAGAACCCACTGCACTATTCGTATAAGAGTATAGGGGAACACCTAGCCTTTTGACAAGGCCTCGTGACTCTGGCTATTTTCCACCCCAATCAGCGGCTGAGATGAGTCTAACCGGCGACGAAGAGAGACCAAGAGACCCGGGGTGAACGCGCGATCGCGGTGGCGTTAGCCGCGAGGCCTTTTGGATTCTAGCTTTTACTGCTCGCATGAATTATTCATCACTTTGGATTTATTGACCAATCAGAACGGCCATCTCCCAGTTGGCTTTGTTCGTGATTCGTTCATTAACAAAACATGTAAGAAAAGGTAAAAGAAGTAAATAAGTTTTGCTTACTCGGGTTTTCGCGATTAGTCTCTTTTTAGTCGCTCGGCGTCAGATATCATTATCAGAGACGAGGCCTTGTCTAAAGGATAGGAAAAACCCCGGTGTTGTGGTCCATCTGCACACCCCCAATCAATTATTCTGGAAGGAAAGACCCGAGGGTTACAGTGATTTAGTTTGCGGTTCGCCTCCCAGGCATAGGTGACGCAAAATAAATAATAATAATAACAATAATAATAATGAGCCTTGAACAAATATGTACTTTCTTTTAGAAGTATGGATATTTCTTTTATTCCAATGGCAGACATATTGATTGGAAACAGACAATGGTATCGCTGAAACTCGGAGAGGATCATGAAGTTTCGCTAGATTTGTATGTATTGCACTGTAGACAGCTTTGACTATATTTTCTTTAACGATGGCCTGAGAGCGAAGTGCTTTGATTATATATTATGTTCAGCGATCACTCCCTTTTTAATACTGCGAAAATTCAAATTTGCATGTACGTGATCACTGTCTCCGGTGTCTAGGGACAGGGGCGGCGGAGCCTTTCCAAAGTGGGGGGGGGGGGGGCACAAACAAAAAAGGGCACCTTCTGGGAAAATGGGGATCTACAGAGGGAGACCTCAAAGTGAATATTTTATAATCTTTTAGACATCTGTATGCGACTACTTTGAGATTACATTATCAGGGATGATTTCGATGTTTGGTTTCTATACATGGTCCAAGATACTGCTTAAAAGGGGAAGGGGCACTTCTTACAAAGAGACACGTGTGAAAGTAAAAAAGGGCGCCTTTCAGATTAAAATAGGAGCAATCATAAAAGGTGGTAGGGGCACTTATAATAATGTTGAACGGGCGCTTATCTGAAGAAAAAGGGGCACTTTCCCTATGTAACAATGGGCACTTTTGGGGTACGTGAAAGAGTGTGAGTGTGGGGCAAAGTATGGTTTAGTCTTTGAATAAAACTCATCTGCCAAACATTATTCAACATTGTAGCATGAACTCAAATAAGTTGTCAGAAGGCACCTGAGACCAACATTATCGATCTCGCAGATCGTCAGTCGATCAATTAGGATAAAAACTTGTCATCCTCTACAATCTTCACCAAATGACATCACCATCACCATCACCGTTATCATCATCATCCTCATCATCATCATCATCATCATCAACCTTCATCAGCATCATTATCATCATCATCATCATCATCATTATCATCAACATTCATCAGCATCATCAAAACATCATCACCATCATCATCATCATTATCATCAACCTTCATCAGCATCATCAAAACATCATCACCATCACAACCGTCATTATCACAGTATCACCAATATCCTCATCATCACCGCAAACATCACAACCACCATCGTCATCATCAATACACCAGTTTACAGTTGTGTGCGCCATTTTAATTGACGAGTAAACAAAGCCAATGACCTAGAGTTCAGTGGTATTTATGCGTAAATTAAGATTGCGCCCATGCAAATTATGATATGCGCGCACAACGCAGCGCGCAGGCAGTGATATCATCATGATTTGCATGGGCGCAATCTTAATTTACGCATAAATACATGACCTCTAGGTCATTGGCCCTTGTTTACTCGCCAATTAAAATGGCGCACACAACTGTAAACTGGTGTATAGCGATATCCTCGACATTATCATCATTCTCATTGCAATACACCAGTTTACAGATGTATCAGTGCGCATGCGCAGACAGTTGACCTCGGGTCATTGGCCCCGGAACGGGGCCAATAACCTCTGACCTCTGGTATTTATGCGTAAATTAAGATTGCGCCCATGCAAATGATGATGTGCGCGCACAACGCAGCGCGTAGGGCAGTGATATCATCAAAATTTGCATGGGCGCAATCCTAATTTACGCATAAATACATGACCTCTAGGTCATTGGCTTTAAAATTGGCTTTAAAATGGCTTTAAAATGGCGCACACAACTGTAAACTGGTGTATTGTCTTTCCCGACTCTGTCACCTCTGACATTTTTTATATAATATAATTTAATGAAGAATATTTAGACCGGAAGTTACGCATTGAGAGCGTACATTTGTAAATGACATATCAAGACACAAATAGTTCGCAGGCAGGCAGATTCTGATTCAAAGGTTCCAAAATTTATATTTCAAATTACTCTCCGATTTACATAGAATTATAGTTAAAATATTCTATAAATAATATATTCCAGCTATCTCATCGTAGCAATATATCTTACACAAGTTACTGACAGAAATATGAAAATATACATCATTTTTTTAAACATACCATTTAGATTTATTAAAAATGTTATTTTACTAAAATATGTGTTTCTCTTGTATTACAAATATACCCTAAATTGGATTAGAAATATTGAGTGTGAAGGGTCATTGATAAATAGCAATATATTCAATGTGTAACAAGCTCGTTAAGAAGGTCCCTGGATAAAAATGTAACGCTCGCTGTTTAGGTATGATTCGCTTTATTCATTACGTTTTTATCTATTTGTTCATTTATTAATTTATTCATACGTATCTATTTATCTATTTATTTATTTTGAGGAAAAAATACATAATACATTCAGTTCCATATAGAGATGTACATACTTTAAATAATTTTATAGCGACAGGAGCACGAGAGCATGTGGCCCTCCAATCGAATAGCAAAAAAAAAAAGGAAAAAGAGAGAGAGAGAGAGAGAGAGAGAGAGATAAAAAAAAAATATGGGAAAGGGAGAGGGCGAAAGAACTAGTAAATAAAGTGATAGGTGATAGCCCAGCCCCGCCCCCCCCCCATTCACCCACACGCACACCCTCCCTCAATTAGTAGCCTTGTTTATTCACAATTCATTCACCGAAAAAGACCGGTATCATCCACCCCCATCTTGCGTGTGCCCCCCCTCCCCAATGGTTTGATACAGGCCACGCCACTGCAGAGATGCGATCTTTAATCCCAGTCATCTTCCCCTGTGATCGGATCGCCGACGCCTCCCCTCCCCCCCCCCCCAATGGCTTGATTCAGGCTACGCCACTGCAGAGATGCAGTCTTTAATCCCAGTCATCCTCCCCTGTGACCGGGTCGTCGTCACGGTTCGCGTAAACACCCTTAACGCAGAGTATCTCGTCGCACCAACCTGCGCCGAGTCCTCTCGGGTCTGTCCCTATGTATCGGGTAGCCCGAAGCTTCTTTAACTCCATTGTTCCATTGAGTAAAAAGTTCTTCCAGTTAGAGTCGCTACTGTGTTCCGTTGTCAAGGAGACCGTTGCTTGAGTATCCATCTGCAAACAAAATTTAAGGTAAATGCAAAGGTAAATGTTGATAAAAGTAGGTATACACCACGATCCTTCTTTACACGTGAGTGCATGGCGTCAGGGACAGCTTTACAAGGGGGAGGGGCGGAGGGGGGCTATGAACTTCTCGCTTGACTCAATTTACCTGCGAACAAGTACACATTTAGAAACACCTCATTATTGATGATCGTGCCTACGAAGATTCGTGATGCAAAATGTGTCCATGTATTTGTTGTATACATGTTTAATATTATTATTGGAGAATCCATGGTAAATTTAAATCCTTAGGGGTAAAACCCCTCACCCCTCGGGTCTCATGCATTTATGGACGCTTATGCATTTGACATTTCGTCGACTGGCCGAATGCACGAAGGCCGTAAAAGCAATGTATTGCGGGCGGTAACTGACTCCTTATGGGCATACGACGATTTCGATTTGCTTTCTATCATAAATTCATAATAAAAATGTGATAAAGTCCCAAATTATTTGTCTGAATTATTCCCGGAATTATTATACATGCAAGTAACTTATTAAGTACACAGGACAAGCCGCTTCTAAAGCTACCTTACACCAAAAAAAAAGTAACTCGGAGATTACTCTTTCCGTTGCGCCGCTCCAAAGCTTTTCGAATAACCTACAGGGGCAGATCTAGATTTGTGCTAAGGGGGGGGGGGGGGGGGTTGACCCAATGACAATGCCCTAGCCCCGTAGAAACCAGGCTATTTTTTTTTGTCGTTGTTGCTATTTTGACCCCGTAGGTGATGTTTTCCTGGCATCTACTAACATCTACTAATGCTGTGTGGGTCTGGACACATGATAGCGTTTGTCTATGCACATCACATTTTCACTTGGCAGCCTAAGGAGGGGGGGGGGGGGGTTAAACCCCCTATCCCCCTCCCGTAGATCCGCCACTGACCAACAGTTTACCACGAGACATAAGAAAAACCTCATATGTTGCTTTCTTCAAAGTTTTTTTTGAAGACGCGCGTGTTTTCAAAAGCCCGTGAATAGTTTTTTGTTATTGCATCTTTAAAGTATCATTATTAGGAGTTTTGTTTTCATCACAGCGTATAGTAGAGTATATTTGTAAAGTAGTTGCGCTATATGGATTGATCTAATTATCACATGCTAAACGAGGTTATTATTACGGGATGAGAAATAAATAAAAGATAAAATAAAAGAATATGATACTACGATATGAGAAAAGGAGGAGAGAAATTTGGTGATCAGATATTTTTTCCGGCGACAATTGCTCCAGGCTTCAAAATTTGAAGGGTAGGGTTAGAGTTGCACTGAATTTGGATGCAGGTGAGGTATATGGTAAGGATGAGGTATAGAAAGTATTTGATTGTCATTCTATTTGTAATTTTCATTCAAAATATTGAGGGGAAAAACAAACAAATTGTAGTGATAATTTGTACAAGAATAAATGTATTGATCACCATCTAAACAGGCTTATAACAAGAAAGAAATGAACATTTAGGTTGATCTGAATGTATTTATAAACAAAGAATTTTGAATATCTCATGACGATGATTATACGATGAGGTAGCAACTCATGAGTTTAAAATAGTGTTGGGTCCAGAGTTGAAGCTAGGAATTCAGTTAGTGTTGGAAATTAAGACAAGTTTCAAAGGATCATGTGTCGTACAAGTGAAATTTTACCTCTTCGAGTTGCAATGGAGCATTGATGAGTAGTGGACATTTTGTGATCATTGTGGTGAGCTGTTAAAGAAAAACAAAGAGACGGAATCAGTAGTGCATATGGCAAAAAATAAACGAGATCACAGGTCACTGACAGAGTCAGGAAAATTATAGAAAATGTAATTGTGTTACAAAATCGAAACTCAGCATCATATTAATCAAACTTACCTGTGACTTAACTTTCAACCAATCAGAATCGCGTAGCTCGGAATTGAGTTTTTTTAATGGCTAAAATATTATTGCATAATGCCTCCAAATGAGGTAAAGAGTCCAAACAGCCATACCATAACTAGTATTTTTAAGTAAAAGCAAAAATGCGAGTAAGTTGTATCACATTGGATATCTAGAGTGAGATAAATAAAATATCAGAGTAATAACAGATTCTGAACGCATAGCGAGTACTTTCCTGTCCACGTTATGAACAGGGGCGTCCTTAGCAAATTTTGCATGAGGGCGGAATTGGGTTCGGACCTTGTGGGCAGAATATTGTCCGAGAAATACAGGATCAAACTAAAGTGAGCACATCCTTTAAAAAAAAGTTGCACATTCCGATGTAACTTCTTACAAAAGTGTTATTATACTCTGATAAAAGCACAAACCTTACATCAACGGCAGATTAGACATTCTGTGATAATTTTATGTGTCTTGGTACAAATATTTATTCCATAACAACGTTGTAGCATATTACGGACATTGTGAACATAGTTGGTCACAGAAGTAAGCGCACCCTAACTTCATTGTCTCAACCCTACTGTAAAAAGAGTTGGGGCAATGCAGATACCCCCCCCCCCCCCCCACTCAGGGGTCGGAATGACCGCATGCGTGTTGCCAAAATATCCAGTAAAGGGGTGCTTTTCGTGCGACAAAGTCCGGCCCGAGAATTGTAAAAAAAGGGTTGTATTTGACTTTTCACCCGGAGATTTCTTTAAAAAGGGGGTGTTTTTCCTTTTTTTCTCTCATCTCTTTGGACTCCTGAGAAATTATTCAGAATTTAGGGGGTACATTGAGCATTTTTCCTGATTTAGGGGGGTCTCCAAGGCAGGAAAAGCCCGCGAAAAGCCCGCGAAAGGGGGGTTCGGAAATGTTGGCAGTCCTCAGATAGGGGGTCCTTTCAAAAAGAGCATATGCGTACCCTAAATAACACTGAGTGGGGGGGGGGGGGGGCCGGGGCAGATACATTCTTGGCAAGAGTTAGAAAAGATTTCCTTTAAAAGAGGCTAATGTTTTTTGTCAATTTGCCAACAGAATTTTAAGTACGGGGTCACATCCCATCCTTCTATCGACGCATTAACTACAACCATAATATGATCTATATATACATTTTAAATAAACATGATCTTACTTACCGATGTGTTCAAGGAGTTATACGCCACAACGAATCGGTGTTTGAGCGCTGTCGCCGCTGTGACATTAAATCTTAACGACGTTTCATCAACCTGGTCGAGTTCGTGGATGAAAGAGTTCATGAGTACTAATCCTCGGCAGAGAAATTTCACTCTCGATTCATTCGTCCTCGTATAATTGACATCGTTTGGCGTCTGGAAGCACGAACAATAAAAAGAAAAATAAATTACATAGTGTACGAGCGTCGACATCATTTAAGTGTATTCTCATCCGTATCTCACCTACATTATCAAGAGTTAAGTACCAGTATATCTGTTATTTTCTTGTTTGTACTTAAATCAATTCTATTAATCAAATACCATGGAAACAAAAAGTAGAAAACTAAGTAGAGAATAGAAACAAAAGTAATTATTTAGGCAATGATCAGATGGCGCATTCTCTATCTATATGCAGATATAACAAACAAAGTTAGGTTTATCGAAAACAAATCATCATTTCTTGTTATTTTATATATTTTACCGAAGGCCTATAACAATTCAAAATTTGCCGACAGCACCTTTTTACTGGGGTCACCCCCGGACCCCTCCTAGTGACGCTCTGGTTCAAGGTAGAATGGAGGAAGATGTGTAATGATTGAGTAATGATTGTTTAAAATTGTCTTACAGTTATGCTTCTACCTTCTATTCAATTAGAATAAAAAGTAAGAATATCAAACCATTGCTCTTTTAACTGTGCTACTGTTTGATTCAATGGTTGTGAGAAGTGTGACACAGGTGCACTTACCAATTGGTGGATAGTAGCGTGAAGTCCAGCTGGGTACTGATAAAATAATGAAGGAAATAAAAGAAATCATCAGCAATCGTATTCTATATTCCCATTTCCCTAGGTTTTGTTTGTTTGAATAATACATTATCATGTTTTGCTGAGGTTGTAACTCGTGTTATGATTCAGGAAATATGGAGATTGATACAGTATCTAACCAAGGGACAGGGCAAAATCTAATATGGTATATCTGAAGTACACGTGGAGTATAAAAAAGGATTAGAGCAAACAACTGCGTCCATATCTGTGCCCCCTAAAGATATCTTAGAGCCTCAAAGGCACCAACAGAATCTAAAAACACCCCTATTTTTGTGCATTGTGCCACTCAACCCCTCCTCCCCTGAAAGAAATCCGGATTCAGCACTGTCACAAAATGTGAATCTTTGAAAATTAGCGTGATTGCCTGATAGGCGGAACTTCTTAGTCTTAGACCACTTTAGAGACAATTTCATCATTCAAAAAAGGGATGAAGAATACTTCATCTTTCTCATTTATTTGTGTTCATGTAACAACCCTCACCAATCAGGCAAATAACACCTCATATGCAATGAATGCCCGAGGGTGGGGGGGGGGGGTATCCACATATGAAGACATACGGGGGTGTACCGCTCTAATGGGTCCCATTTTTACAAAAATATCCGTAAACATTGCGAAAGTTGTGGAAAATGGGCCTTTATTTCGAGAAAATTCCCCAAAATGACCCTTTAAAATGGGTAGGGGTTTCGAGGCTTGAGCGAAAAAGACTCGACCTAACCAAATCTGAGAACCCCCCCCCCTCCCGGATGCAACGGGCATAGCTTACCTCGTCCGTAATGGCATTGAAATCCACGATGGTGGAACGGTCCACGAAACAATGTTTCATGGATACAGTGCCGAGGGGTAACGATGACCCACCACGTATTCCACACGGTGTCCATATCTGACCTTCGACCTGTGTCGATGATGTCACTACGAGTGACAGCGCGAATACTAACACTAACAAGGGAATGGGTGTGGTCATTGTGGGGTAGGGTGTGGCCCGTCTGGTGATGGTGTTGCCCGGAATGTTGGTAGTATTGATGAACAGGTGTCGCCGTGTCGGTAAGTCTTTGGTGATGTGATAATCAAACGTTGTCTTTCAAACCGAGCTTCAGAAAAGTGTCTCCTGAGAAGAGTACATAACTAAAAGATGAAAGACAGTGTTTCTAAAGCGCAGGTTGCAGAATAAACTTTGAATTATATTTTATTCCCAAAATAGACGAATATAATAGAAATATCCAGAGCTATGATATGATTAAATGGATCAGAAGGAACCAAATATTGTCATGTTACAAATGATCATTATGGTAGAGGGTATCAGTCGTCCGTCATCATGTTAAAGAGTTTTGATTGTAAAAATGTTAACACCGGTAGTTAGTTCCATTGATAGAAACTCATAATCCGGTCACAGGCAGTTATGATGATTGTAAAAGAAAATAACTACATTATGATACTGTCAAGATGTGGTTGACGAAATTGGAAAAATATTTTTAATTGATTAAACTGACCCTGAACTGACGTAGAAAATTGAAGGAATGAGGTGAACGCTTTACCTCGCACACTCCAGAGAGACATAAACTTACCTATTTAGATAGCGTTCAGCCGATATCACACCAATGAAGCTATGTCGGAACAAATGAAAAATATCTGCCATTTCATCCCAGTTTAAATACTCCTCAATATCCCAAATATGCGTCATTATTTCGAAATATGAATTTCGTCTTGATAATCCTTAGTTCATATACCTCAATTCAAGTTTGTAATAAAGGTGAGAATGCAATTGAAGTAAGACGATAGATGTAGTCATGTCCGGGAGATTCGTATTTGAAAATGAAATATTTTACTCCAACTGCAATAAAAATACAAACAACGCACTTTGTCTCTCTCTAAGTATGTAAGTTGCACCTGGGAAAATACACGTTGCACGTTCAACAGTTATTTGTTCGTTACCTGAATGAAAACATAATGAAGCGAAACCGATGTCGACATTAGTATTTGTTTGAGTGCACACTTCACAAACAATTGCACAATATGCATGCGACCTGGGCGCTCTGCAGTTCTATTTTCACACCCGTCATATTCATGTGCTTTATTTCCCCTGAGCATTTCCGCTTACAACGCTTTTCATTGTGTCCAGTTGTGGAGTCGTGTAGTTCTTGATAATTATATATTGTTTAGACAATAATGATATATTTTAAGAACTCATAATGGTGCAATTTGTACCTACTTTCTTCTTCTTCTATTACTACTACTATACTTCTACTACATGTACTACCAGGAAGTAAAACAACATAGAGCTCGATACCCCCCCCCCCCCCGGTTGAACCACCAAAACAAAAACAAAGTGCTCACTACCCATTTCCGTCTTCAAATAATGAGAAAACTAAATTAAAGTAATTCAAATCAATTGTTATTTTTTCCACAATTCGATAAAAATGACAATATGAACATACAAAACAACCTATAACTATAGCAACGTAGTTAAGGTATAAAGAAATTCGAATACAATTAAAGGTATAGTACAAAATTAAAACAAACAGAAAGAAAAAAATATATCAAAATGTGGAGGGACAAACAGAGGATTAAGGCCTATCACAGGCTTTATATATATCTAGGAAATATATAATACATAATGATAGAAAATTACGAATAGTTTAGGAACACGCACGCACAGACACACAAGAAAAAGCAAATGACACACAATTAATATTATATCAGGGGGTGTCATACTTAATCAATTCATTTTCATATTTCTTTTTAAAACTCGACAGGATAGGTCAACTCTTTATTTCAGACTCCAGACATTTCCATAACTTTGGATCAATAAATGCGGTGGTAGGAGTATTCCTTGAAATGCATTGTGCGCCAATAACGGCTACCGGAGCTAAAGCTAGGGTAATAATTTCCAAAGCTCTTTTGAAGCGCTTAGAGACGTTTTTTAATCTAATATGCGCTATTTACAATAACCGAATATTATTAAAGCCCCACTGTCCTACTTGTAGCTACTTGCTCCCTCTATATAGAAAACTTCCCCAATCGGTGCGTGTTGGTCCCCATGATCCTCTTTTTCTTATGTTAGCTGAGAGCTGAGTTAATGAGATAGCCACCTGTCAGTGACCTCGCTGTGTGCATGGTCTAATCCCTTCTGGCCCAGTAGTATTGACGGCCTTTAAAGTGGTACGAGAAAATTTATACTTTAATTTAGGAATGCGAATGTGACTGGACCTGTCTAGCCAAGTATAGAGTATGGAACAAACGAACCATTTTCATGAAAACAATCATCACCAAAAAACGTAGGCAGCAGATATTGCAAGTAAGAAACATAAAATGTGCTTAAGCAATTTGTGTATATCCTGAGCTTTATGAAATAAGGGATCCGTGTGTTACAATGGTGATGAACCAGTAATAATGCGCATTGCTTGTTTGTTTCTGTAAAAGTAGAATTTTATTAAGATGCGTTGAAGCGCAGCTTCCCCAGACAATATCGCAGTATGTTGAATAAGATATTATCATTAAGCCATTTACTGATAAATGGTAAGAAGAATCTTGTGAAGTAAATACTTCCCTCAATCAATTTATCGCTCCCACAACCTTCGACATTTTGCATGACATCTCACAAATAAGATTTTTGCAACTCAATTTATCGTCTAAAACATCCCCCCCCCCCATGTCCATATCGTCATAAATACAAATTCCATCTTTCTCAATGTAATAATATTGCACTTTTCCTTGAGGAGAGGATAATAATTCATTTATAATTCTCCAAATTACTTGGTATTACAGCGAACATTTTTTTGATACCTTTTATTGTTACGTATTGCACACCTGACCTGATTTCTGAATGTAGTGTGGACGGATTTCCGGTAGGCCTACCTGATTGGATTCTATATTTCCGATATATCCAATTTTTCTTCCAACATAGTTATTTCAGTTCCAGAGTAAACCAACTTGAAGGCTTAGAAATATGCATTTTCTTACTCCGAATATTTACAAATGGAAAACATACATCATAGATATTATTCAATACATATATGAAACAGTCAAATTGCTTATCAACATTAGAGTCATGCAAATGCATGTTTCAGTCTATTTCCGTTAACATCTCACAAAATTTTGCAATACCATTATCATCTATGACACGCATGGTAAAAGTTTTATATTCATTAAAATCCTCGGCATACTTAATGCAAGTAAAGACTGATAAATGATCACCGACATCTTTATATGTATATCTAAAATATATGTGTAATATATACATAGACCTATTTATATAATTCATGTATATTATAGATATGATAAAGCATTTAATTTTATTTGATATAGTGTGTTTATGACTCATGTAAACGCCAAACATGTGATGAATACTTGTAATTATGTAGTAAGCCTGTACTCAGTACTAAACCTTTAAAGTGTACCGTCGTTATGAAAATAAGCCTACACTAAAGCCCATGTCTAAATGTCCCTAAATATTTGCTACAACAGCTGTCTTCGAACACCTATAACGTTGCGCAAGTAGTTTTATGCATTGATTAAACATTCGTATATGGGTATGTCGCGAATGATGGCTGTGCCACCATTACACAACTCAATAAACAAAATATCAAATTATCAGGTATTACTCTATATATTTATATCTATTTCAAAATCCTGAGTAGTATTTTGTTCGAATTTCTTCCTTGCTCAGTCCATGACAAAAGCCAGTATACAAAATATCAAATTTCGTATCGATGATTATCATTTCAAATGTTATATTATGTTTATTTTTGTAATTAAAAAGGTATTACTCTATATATTTATATCTGTTTCAAAATCTTGAGTAGTATTTTGTTCGATTTGTTGTCATTGCTCAGCCCACGACAAAAGCTATATAATGCCAGATGCTTGGTTGCAATAAATTAAGGTGTCAGTACAGCCACATCCTGTCATGTCATCGTAGTCCATTGAGAGAACTTCCACTATTCTATGGGAGGATATATTTCATGTGATAGATCTGTTGAAAGCTCACCACACGCTGTACACTCTTACGCCCCGATCCGATTGTGGAAGAATTATATTGTCAAAAGCATTTCATATTCGAACATTCAAACATGTGAAATATCAAGTATCGAGGTTTAAGGACTAGGTAGTCTATGAATAGCAATATCGAAATTACGGAGGCCTTAGAAGCCCCCCCCCCCCCCCCGGGCTATAGCCCGGGCTAAATAGGGTTAAATAGTTAAGCAGTTTAACACAGAACCAAAGCGATGAATAAGAGAGAGTAATGATATGGCTAGGGGCGACGGATGCCCTCTCAGCCTTGGGTTAATCACTCAACATCAAAGCGTGCAAAAGATAGAGGGAGAGAGGGGGAGAGTTAGGGGAGAGAGGGGGAGAGTTAGGGGAGAGAGAGAGAGAGAGAGAAAGAGAGATTGTATATACACTGTTGGTCATAATGGTGGAATAATTTTGTTTTACCCCGATTTATGGAAAGATTTTAACAATGATTTAGATAATAGTATACATTCTCAGATTTTATTAAATTATAATTTGTGAGTGTTTGTTTTGCGTGACTGCTAAAGCATGTGTATGCTACTATGCTAATCTACAAGGGGACCTACGTCCTTAAGTCATAACTGACATTAATGAGGAATAATGCCTCATAAAAGGGCACTAATAAAGCATATCGACACGGTTTTGATCCTGGGGGCTCACAGTAACGAGGCCATTGCTTAGCCACTGAATCATGACTGTACGCAGCCGGGGCTAGGGTACGTCGCCGCCCCCACAAATACCAAAAAACAAAGAAAATGCAATAAATTATCAATAATTTATTGCATTTCCCCCGGTCCCCAACATAACAAATTCCTCTGAGGGCAATGCATTATGGGTCAAGGCATGCCCACATGTCCACCATTATGACCAACAGTGTATAGAGAGAGAGAGAGAGAGAGAGACAAAGAGAGAGAGAGAGAGAAAAACAGAGAGAGAAGAGCGGGACAGAAAAGCATGTACAGATAGACAGATCGAAAGACACATTGTTTAAAAATAAGAGGGTAGTCGGAAAGTAGAGAGCGAGAATCAGAGTTTAAAAGAATATGAGTAAGAGAAAGGGATAGAGTGGAAGATATATTAAAAGAGAGGAAAATGGAGTGATAGAAAGGAAGCGATAGGGGAAGAGGAAGATATATCACCATAGTTTCATTGCTATCATCATCACCACCACTACCACTATCACCATTATCCTCCCCCTCCTCATCTGACTATCAACACTTTCATCATCCCCAATGCCATTGCCATCACCACTGCCCACAAAGGACCTATCATCAACATCATTTTTATCATCACCATCAAGATCATCATCAAGATCATCACCAGTATCATCATCATCATCATCAAGATCATCACCAGTATCATCATATTCATCACTATCATCACCACCATCAACATCTTCATCATTATCACCACCATCATCATCACCATTATCCTCCTCCTCCTTATCACCACTATCATTGTCATCATCACCACCATCCTAATCAGCAATATCTTCATCTTCATCACTATCATCACCACCATCATCATCTTCATCACTATCATCATCATCATCATCATCACCATTATCTTCCTCATCACCATCACCACTATCATCATCATCACCACCATCCTAATCAGCAATATCATCATCTTCATCACTATCATCACCACCACCAGCATCATCTTCATCACTATCATCATCATCATCATCATCACCATTATCTTCCTCATCACCATCACCACTATCATCATCATCACCACCATCCTAATCAGCAATATCATCACCATCATTGTCATCATCACCACCACCCTAATCAGCAATATCTTCATCTTCATCACTATCATCACCACCATCATCATCTTCATCACTATCATCATCATCACCATTATCTTCCTCATCACCATCACCACTATCATCATCATCATCACCATCCTAATCAGCAATATCATCATCTTCATCACTATCATCACCACCACCAGCATCATCTTCACCATTACCATCATAATTCACAGTCATCATCATCGCTAAATAAGCCGTACTGATCGAGGCAAATAAACAAAATTAAAAAAATCATTTAAATGTTATCAAGATCTTTTTATGCTGAACAATATATAGATACATTTGAACGATGTACTCATTCAATTAAAAAAATAATTTGGATTAAATAGTCTATTCAATTTTTCAGTACATCTGAAGTACTCTAAATTGTAATGGCTATACCTTATTAGACCATTTCCCTGTTGATTACATTCATCAGAATCAATTCAGTCATTATTTTAATAGACTCTTTTTTTACCTCTGTAAGAAATAATATTTAACTCCCTTCATTGTTCATATTTGTCAACTTCACTTTAATAAACTCAACATTATTGCATTCTTAAAACAACATATTCATATTGAAGTATCTTTTTAAATAATAAATCTATGTACAATTTGAAGAATTCAGTAGAAATTTGACAGTCCAAATACATAGTAAACATATCCATAAAAAGGATAATTTGGAGAAAGTGTGAAAAAATAATACAATCATAAATCAAGGCACTACAGAAGAAACTCTGAAAGGCACATTTTGTTCACAGCCTACTGGCATGTACTTTGGTAGTGTACGAGTGTGAAATTAAAGTCAAAGGCACATTATACATGTAGTTTATAACAATGTTTCTATATACAACACTTTTACTTCAATGTATATCCCAATATAATTTAGATATATAGAAAGGCTAGTGCGTTCAAGAGACTATACAGAATAAGAAGATTTCTACAAGCAGGTGGAAAGCCAGTGAGACAAGAAGCCTATTAGACTGAATAAGACACCATGGAACTAAAGCTTTGCACATTTCATCACACTAGTAGGAGTAAAGGAAAGTAAAGTTAACAATCCCACAAAATTTTGAAGTCTGCTTTGCTGTGTTCATGACTAGAAAGAGCTTAACACTCTTTGTCAAATGAAAATGAAGCTTAAATCACAATTGACCATTATAGCCTTCTTTAAGCAGATGACATAATGCCCTGGGAATAATAAATATATAATATTTACAGTCAACTTGAGCAAAGGACAATAAATCATACAAATTAATATTTTATAAGGTAGGTTCTATGTTTTGATGGAAAGATATTACAAATGCTATTGAACATTATTGAACGCCTCTTGTATTTTAATTCTACAAATCTTCTCAAGTTGTTAAGAAAATATAAAGGTCAGTTTGAATCAAAATAACTAACAGTATTTCTTATGAAAAAGAATATGTTCTTATGATACATGTATCTTGCTTTCTATGTCTGTTAGACAAAAATTGAGAAAATAAAAAGTAAAACATGCCTAAATCACATAAATATATTCTTTTGTGAGACACACTTCACTCAGTATAGATTTTCATTGTCATTTGTTTGAATGTGACTTTGGACCTAATTCAACATCATTTCATTTTAAATGTTTCAAAGAACCAGTCCTTTTCACTACATGAGGCATTATTATATGGCAGTAATGAGGTACACTTAATATACAACTTGATAGCATTATTGCTTTGTTCGTTTTATTGATTTGATCTTTAGAACATTTGTTCATGCTTCTGTGCTCAATCCGTAACTATAAAGGCATTGAAAATGTATATCTTTGATCAAGATGATAATATACCAATTGTGTTTATATTTGTCCATGTGTAACCATGTTCTGTAGCCTCTGAGTGGTTGCTCCATCAAACTGATAAGCCTGAAAAATAAATGAAAATGGAAGAAAAAACAGAACCGGAGAAATGTATTAAGTGTTGAAAGTTAAACATTTAGGAAAAAAACTTTTACTAGTTAAAGATATTAAAAAACTTTTAATAGAAAGGTACGGTACCATTACTGTTGATGAATAGATTTCAGTGAAGAATTTCAAATAAAAAGTGAATGGGACAAAACAAAATGACTCCAAAATGAGAGAGAAAAGCAGAACAAGTCAGGAAGCAGAAGAGCAATGTGCATACCGGTATACAGTCATGTCAAGTGTGGAATGTGGAGGAGATATCATAATGGTTGTTTCGATTTACATGTATAGACAACATACTTATTCAGGTTTAGAGATCACATACGAGTTACAGCAATGAAATAAACATAAAAAATCAGTTATTTATTCAACAAGAAGACATAAGTCACTTGTCCACTTTCACTTCATCTTTCCTCCACTTTTGAAGGAATTTTGTTCTTCTTCAACAATTCACATTTGGGGTTTATTTAACAATTTCATAAACTAAATAAACAAAACCAAACAACTTAATTTAATTGCAGGGGCTAACATTTTTGGGAAAAAGGGCTTCCAATGCCCACATATTACTTTCATTTTTTTTATTAATGATGAGCACTGATAAGAGATATGGGAGAAAAGATAGTAGGGAGAGAAAAAAATTAAAAACAAGAGGTAAGAAAATATTGTTATGAATCCAATGTAAGCAATCTAACATGGGAGTGTCGTGGTCGTGTGGTTTAAGGTGCTTGACTGGAGATGCGAAGGTCGAGGGTTCAAATCCCGACACGACACTAACATCCTTTGGCAAGATATTTACCTGCACTTGCTACTCTCCACCCAGGTGTTAAATGGGTACCCGGTAGGATGCGAAAGTTCATGTGGTTGGACGAGCAAGTGTGCGCTTGTAAAATGGCGACTAGCTGGAATGCTCCCCAGGGAGTGGAAAATGTGCACACATTTTGTGCGAGTAAGCCTGAATCCGATGACTGGGGTAATAATATATCTGTAAAGTACTTAGGCACATCGTTGGATCGGTGTATTGTGCGCTATATAAAAACATAATATTATTATTATTCTTACTCTAGAGTAGTAATGTTGTGCAAGGTCTTTGTCTTTCTTGACCCCATGACCTAGATGAAGACACCTAGCGTAGTAGAAACATGCCATGGCCACGCCTTTAGCAACGAATACCGGTAGACAGTCTGTAGCTTTACTGAGCTCCTCAAAGTTATCAACCTGGGACAATCTGTATGAGGAGCAGACAACAGGAAGGTTTAGTCTGATAGAGTATTCTTGAATATTCAGTTTAGATCTAGAACAAAACAGTAAGAATTTATCTCTATTTGTAATTGAGAGCCAACGGGTCACAAATTCCATGTTGATTTTAGATACAGATAACTTTTTTCCTTCTACGATAATATAAAACATGTATGTGGGAATCGTATTTGATAATACAAGGAGCTGCCGCAATCTTAACTAAACAAATATTTTCACAGAGAAAAAAACAAAAACTAAATTTCAAATTCTAACTCTGTCAAATCTCTGGCTACACCTCGGTGTGGGAAAATAGTAGAGGATTGGGTTTAACCAGTAAAAAGTAAACCTAGGTTCAAAACTAAACACTTTCCAAAGCAATCGGCTAAGAGTTATCTTTTGTCCAATTGCAAATTACTGCAGTTTCCCAGACGGTAGCTAAACTATTCATTCGATACTACCAGTGTTAATTTTCCGCTATTATCTCTATCAAATACTGGTTACGAGAGAACATTTATCAAACAATATCAACAGCGCTTTAGAACTCTCATCTAATCATGTAATAATAATAAGACACTTATCATACTAAGAGAAAAGATAGACCAATTACTTTCCCATTATATTTTTGATAAATGAGATGGTAGCTTTACTTACTTATGCAAGTAATTTTTACAGCTTCAGTTCATATATCCTGTTTTCAAATTGCATAATACTTCCGCAAACCAAACCCAACTCAAGTTTAATATTCCTCTCCCATTTTATTCAACCTCTAATTAAGATAGATGAATCAGTATGGTTCTCAGAAAATAGTCTATTTTTAGAACCCAGTTTAGGAACCAGGTTACATTTGAAGAGGTTCTGAATCACGATTCGCACGAAGGTAGGTTTAATCTTGGTTTCAATAAAAATACTTTCACCATGTCGCCGAATGACAGCTATCAAAAGTGTTCTTATTAATACTAGGCGAATGACTCGGCAACAACTGCCAAGTACTACTCGCTCACAAACACTCTTTCAATGAAACTTTATACTCGGTTTTAGTATCGCATGTTTGTTTTGGTAGTAAATCCTTCTGTTACGTGCGGCTTGTGGTGGGTGTTAGAACTGGACTTTTACAAACGATACAAGGGTTTAAAGTTCTGATTAATATTCTATTCTAACCCTTCATGTAGTGTGATCCTGGTATATTTTAGTTTGGGAATTTTGATTCATTCATCTTTGAATGTTATTGAGCAGGCGTGTCTGTTACCCTATCAATCAATCAATACCAATATCCTTCTCAATGATGGCAGGATATCAGGGAAAGAGTAGGAGCTAGAGTAATGGTACTCAAAGAGGTACATGATGGCGCTCCGAGCGAGTTGGCGGGTGGGGGGTTTCGGGGAGTAAGATTAGAGTATGATTTCATATATCAATTCATTAAAGCAAGTTCTATTTTTATTTATTCATAGATGAATTGTATTATTGATCCATGGGCGCGAGGGGGGGGGGGTGAGAAAATGGTTCTGGGAAAGAGTAAATTCACTCTGAAATGTGTTCTGGGTAAAAAAAAAATATTTAAAAAAGCCATCGCACTAGACACTCTTGAAAAAAAACAAATATGATATTGATTAATAATATCTGAATAGATGTCAAAACCTGATAGTATTTCCTTGCCATTGTTTTTGGATCTTAACTAATGAAATCAAGGAATGTTTTCATCTTCTGAAATCATGAAGATGGAGTTGAATATATACTCTCTTTTTTCCCCGTTAGTTGGTTTTCAATCAATAATTGATTCCATGAGTGGAATGTCTTGAAAGATATGTGAATTATCACAACCAACTGAACACTGAACAAGAAACTTACAACAAATTCTACACATATTATATGTCTTCTTTTTTTCTTTCTCTTGTACAAACAAACTTAATGTGTGCAGCAATTTTTGTACGCCATACTTCTTAAACAAATAATTAACCAGTATACACACAGCAAATATCTACATACCTTGCAGCTAGTTCTGCAGCCTTGGTATAGAGCTTGGTAGAGTAATAGTGAGCCACTAAATGACCCATGGAATACACGTTCCCTCGTTCGGAAGATTCCTTCAAACACTCAAATGCAGAGTCTACGTCCTTCTTACAACCCTGACCTGTGGCATACAGAATCCCAAGAGCTCCTGTTGAAAGTTCATTAAAGGAGAGATAAATGAAATGAACAAAAGTAGCATTGAAAGACATACATGGGTATAAGAGAGAGAGAGAGAGAGAGAGAGAGAGAGAGAGAGAGAGAGAGAGAGGGGTGGGAGAGAGACAAGAGAGAGAGAGAGAGAGAGAGAGGGAGGGGGAGGGAGAGAGAGAGAGAGAGAGACTACAAAAGACATAGAGAGAAAGGTAGAGAGAGAGAGAGAGAGAGAAAGCAAGACAGACTCTGATAAATACAAAGGCAATGGTAGAGAGGATGAGAAAAGATAATGAAGAAAAGAATATAAACACAATTTTAGAAGGAAAGAGAGCTAAAAACAGACGGACAGACAATATTTAATGGCTATAGGAATGGCAATTAAGTGAATAAAATGACGCTATCAGAAATTGTAAATGTTTCTTGCTCATGTCACTGCAGCGAAATTATTTCTTGATTTCATCAGATCAATTTACAGTACGTTATCAAGACATATAGGCATAATAAAACAGTCACAGGGTATACTGTACTTACACATAACTTGACGATAAAGCTCTCCTTTGTAAAAATTTAACTGCCAACTATTAAAAAGAATGCAATTAATTTCTACTATCCTATGTGAATTCAATTTGTCCTCCATTAAAGCTCTTACAAATCACATCTGTAAGATGATCATTGCTTCTTTCTAGATCCACTAGAAAAGCTTCTAAACGCGATTGTTTATGTTATGAAACATAAATAGAAGAAGAGGTAGAAGCCAATTAGCGTTTGGTGTATCTTTAGTAGTTTACAGCAATATGCAGCCTTAATCCAGTCTGTTCTTCCATTGCCATAACATTTCACCTCACTTTCATATACTTTTAATATGATATTTGAATTTTGACATTGTGCCACTTTGATGAAAATGCATACCGTATGTAGACCGAATCTTTTTCTAATGAACAATATAAGATCATATGCAAAAGGTCACAATTAAGTCACATCTTTTTTAATTTTTGGAAAACAAAAAAGTTGTAAAACTTGAATTATTCCCAAGTATTCCTTTGACTTGAATACTTAAACATTTGAAGTCTTAACAAATCTGAAGAATTCCTTTATATCTGACTAATTCATACACTTTATTTATTTGAATTAATCCTGGCAAACATTCAACCAAAGAAGGGTACTTGAACAGTATTTAGATAGTCAACGATGATGAAGAGAATCAAAACAGAGAAATGCAAATAAAGAGATCTAAAATTATTCTTAAAATTTCCATAGAGAGGTTGTATTCAAGCAGAGGGAAATTTATTTCAGGATTTATGAAAAATTGGGCTACGGTAGTTATAATGATGTCAAGCTGACAAGCCAACAATAAATTCAAGTTTTGTTTTTGAATCCGCTTTGCGAGGGACTTCACAACTGAAATTGAAGCTATATGGTCATTGTGCAGAGGGAAGATCATCAAAATAGTGATCATGTGTTTGCGAGTTAACCATACAAATAGGAGTGTTACATATGTCCTAGACTGATCTGAGAAGGTGTTCAACTATTTTTGTGCCCCCTTAGTTTCAAGAGTAAAAGTTTGATTTCTGCATACTTTGTTTTTTGTTGTTTAAAGGCCCACTGCACTACTTGTAGCTACCTGCGCCCTCTATATAATAAACAATGCCTAATCGGTGACCATTGGTCCCCGATGATCCTCTTTTTCTTATGTTAACTGAGAGCTGAGTTGATGAGATAACCACCTGTCCAGTGACCGACCTTGCAGAGCGGTATAAATCCCTCCTGTAAACTAGTACAGATGAGCTTTAAAGCATATATCTTATGCTGGAGTAAATTCCACAGTGATTTTGTATCTGTTTCCATTTAAAGTACAGACAAACATTAAATTCTTAATCCGAATTCATTCTTGGGTGGAATATGCCGTGCATGGCATGAAAGCATTTAATCTTTCCTATCTGTTTACACATTGATGACACATTAACATTTATCAATCCCAGGTCTTATGCAATGTATTTTCCTTGTATATGTCATATTACAAGGTGCAAGCATCACAATAATTGTGAGAACAAATTCCCTTTTTTCATATTTGGAAAATTATCATAATAGATGTACCTGTATATATTTCTTGTTTTGCTATAACTACTATAATCTTGTGAGAAAGTACCCAATAATTGGCAATTGGTAGGGGAAAATATTAAAAAATGTATGAAATTAAGAAAGGAAGAACCTGGGAAAATTGTGTTCAAATGCATAACACTAAAAAAGGCCCACTTATAATGAAAGCAGGATTTGATAAAAATCAAATTTCGTTGGAAAATAATATTGCATGCAGGCATAATACATAATAGTAAACAATGACATCTCTAATGGCTAGGTTTGAAAGAAAGTAACATCCTGTCTACTCTTTACAATCACATCAAGAATAGTTTTAGATGATGAATTCCATCAATTTATTGAGCAATGAAATCCATTATTTCCCTAGGTTAACTTTATTTAGAATTCTTTAACCCATTTAAAAAAAAAACTTTTATTTAGAACTCATGTCAAGGTCCTCAAGGATCTTAAGCTCTGTTTTGGATGAAAAAAGTGCAATGATGCAATTGCAATGGAATAACCCTTGTTATGATATTGGCGGAACCAATTGGAAAATGTGAATTTTTGTGTGAAAACTATTGTCAAGTGGCTTTTAATAACTATCATTTTTACTTTTGATCTTGCAAGAAAATTCACATTCAATTCTTTTTTATACCAAGTCCATAGCTGTCATCACCCCCTATTTGGGGGCCTGATTACACAATGAGCAAAACAAGAGAAATGAAACTGAAGATGAAGATTTCAACCATTCCCGTTCAGGGAAAGTAACTAATCGTGTTCTCAATTTGGAGCAATTTCTCAAGCACCTACAGGTAGGGAACGTACATGTAATGGAAATTAATACCTGGCTGTTAGATATTTAGATTTATTCTTATCATATACATCAATACTCTTTAAAGCCCCTCTGCACCAGTTTGGCATGGAGGGATTATACCTTCCTGCGAGGTCACTGGCAGGTGGTTATATCTCATCACATCCGCTCTCAATTAACATAAGAAAAAGGGCATCATGGGAGATCAATGGGTACCGCTTAGGCATTGATGGCTGTATAGAGGGCGCAAGTAGCTACAAGTAGTGCAGTTCTGCTTCAATGATAATAATAATAATATCTGAGATCTGTAAGAATCCACTTGAAAGCAAATACTCAAGGGAAACTTGTGAAACAAACAACAACAACAAAAATATATAGATCACATAACAGTTACTTGTCAAGGTCCTTTTCCTCTTTTATCTGCAAGTTTCATTTTTTCTGTCATACAAAAATATCTAGGCATACAAGAGTTCTTGTGATATCAAGCACTTCTTGGTATTGCTTCTTTACTAGCATTGTACAAAATAAAAATGGTAAAGACAGAAATAACAGTAGCAGATGAAAGAAAAACAAAAGAAAAGGGAATCTAAAGGGCAAGAAGAAAGAAAAAAAAAATACTGTACCTTGTGATTCTAGACTCCCGTTTCCAGTCGCTTCAGAATGCCAGAAGAAAGCCTTGGAAAGTGAAACCAAATCAAATAACAATCAATCTCCATTGATCCTTCTTATTAATGGTTGCTACGGACTAATGGTTGCTATAGAATTGCAAAGGACCCTTAACATGACAATAAAACACTTTATACAAATTGTTAACTTAGACCTTGTGGTCTAGCATACATGATTCATTGATGACCGACAGATTGATCCTGATATACTTTTCAGGATTACAACCGTAAACTATTGAAACTAGAGCAATCTTGGACGGATGTTATGGAATCATGGAGTCAAAAGGGGAACTGAAAAAAGGTGACTTTTTTTTCTTCAAAATAACTGTGGTATGAAATTGTAATTATTTTGATAAAGTTATTTCACATAATGATATGAAGATATGAATCATATAGAATATGATCTAAACAATACCTCAGGAAAAATAATTCATAAGAAATTCTGAAATCAAGGGTATTTTGCAGTTTAGTACTTCTAAGATAGACTTTAAAAAAAAATTTGTTCAAGGCATATCAAATTCTAAAAGCATTCTCTATAAGAAAATGGAAAAAAAGAAAGAAAAAAAAAACCCATCTCACTGACGTAAAGGGCCAATAAAATCAATCTGAAGGGCTAAAATTAACCATAGCCCCAGATCTACAGACCACTTTAAATATTTTGAGGCAGCTTAAACGTCATGCCTTTCTTGCCTACATGGAAGGGACAATTACATTGCACACAATTAATGTAGGGTTTCTCATTTTATATGAAATTAGTGGAATGTGCAGCATTCTCTATATTTTGAGATAAAGTTGGTCACCTAAGCAGTTTTCTATACTTCAAGGCTGGCAATCCTGATTATTTTCATATAATGGCAATGTTAAAAGTATATGTGTTTTGTTGCTTATACCATTTTACCAATATTGTCGAATTAAATCTATCACAGTGAATACTATGTGAAAGAGAACAAAAACATTGTGAAACCTTCAATGGTTCAAAATCACAACTGAGTATATTTAGATGTAAGATGGCAGCATTCCTCTTTTTTAATATTGAATTATTCAATCACCATTTGATTATCCCCTTGCTTTGAGAGATAAATAAAAGGAAATTAAAAAATAAAAACTCATGACTAAATGGCTGGGTCATTTTTTTGGGTGTAAATTGCCATGCATATCACCTTTTTAAGATCTCTTGTGTCATCTCTGCAGTAAAGCATTCCTAGAGCTGTTTGAGCCTTGATACTTGCTTTAGGATTCCCATCGTCTGCTGCTAGGATCCAATACCTCTCTGCTTCACGGTCTGATTGCTTGACACCACAACCCTCAAAATACGCACGTCCTATGTTGTACTGAGCAAATGGTAACAGATGCTGAGCCCATTTAGCATCCGAGTCTGCCACATCCTTCATGTACTCAAAACCCCTTTTCTGAAAAGTTTTTTTAAAAATGAAAAAATAAGATTAGATAGATAGATAGATGATAGATAAATGGTATTTATTGATTCATTTCCATGTATCGCAGTTACAAGTAACTGAATTGTGCAAGAATAAAACATTGATGATGAAGACAATTATACATTTCGAGTGATATCACAGTAAAAAGTAACTGAATTGCACATGAGTAAATTGCTGGAAAAAAGCAAGTATACATTTCAAGATGTCACACTACAATCTACATAATTATGAAGAGCGTGTATATACTATATACCATTAATCTTATACAATATTTCAATTTAAAAATTTGAGTTAAAAAGAAAGAGAGATGGGAAAGCAGGAGAGAGAGAAAGAAAAAGAGAAAGAGAGAGAGAAAGAGAGAGAGAGAGAGAGAGAGAGAGAGGGGAGAAAGGGGACAGATGGACAGAGAGGGAAAACAATTATGTACATGTTGATAAAATACAAAGATACATTGCAAGACAAATATGAATATTATAAGGTGAACATTAGAGATATTAAAATATAAATATAGATATGCATCACATTCTTCATGTCATAAAAAATACATTGACTAACTTGGTAAAAAAATCAGACAAATGCATAGACCAGGTCTAACGCAATTTACAACTTAAAATGAGAATGACCTATAAGAATGACATAGAGAGAAATGTTTTAGTTTCAGACCAAACAGTCTAAAGGAAAATACTTCATAACTTGATATTTCTTTCTATTTTTATATATTTTTTTAGAAGAGAATAAAATATACAAATGTATAATATGAGGGGGATGGAGGGAGAAGGACCAACACGTATATACATGTTATTAATCTCACTCGTTAAGCAATAGGCCAATTGAATTTTTCTTTAATCAACTATAACGTTTTACCATGATTAATTTCCTTGTCATGAAAAACAATTTCAAGAAACATTTATCACTGCCTTTCTAGCATTACCAAATCTTTTATCAATATGATATTGAAAATGGTGTAACATTAGGACCAAATAAAGAGAATGTATAAGTTTTGAACAAGTGACATTCTACATGTACATCTGTGTGCAACGTTAGAACAGCTTTACCATGTCTTTCTCCGTTCCAATTCCATCAAAGTAAATGATGCCCAGCTGGTATTGCGCCTGTAGATCATTCTCTCTAATGTCATAGAAGTACTTCTTAGCCTCTTTGTATCTTTCCTGTAAAAATCAATGTAAATCAAAATACAGGAGAAAAAATTAACAATTTCCACGATATATGACAAATAAATTCAAATTGTCTTTTGTTTTGAATTGAAATCGTTACTAATTATATTACACTACCTTTTGTCATAAAGACCAGTACATTCTCATTAAACATCTTCAGCAGATATAAGTAGTATTTGTTATCATCACAATACATCCAGGGGAGTGTTTCACAAAGACTAAGATCAACTTTAAGTTGAACTTAACTATAACAGACCTTTCATGCCACTAGTTCCTCTAACCATTCCTGGCATTGGTTTCTCAAGGAACGAACAAATCATGGTCACAAATCTTCAGAATTTACCTTTTTTGATAGTTCATTATTGAAGGAAAAAACATCATCTAAAGATCATAATTGAGAAACCAATGGTGAGAGCAACCAGTGGCACGAACAGCCTGCCGTAGTTAAGTTCAACTTATAGTCGATCTCAGTCTTTGTGAAACACCCCCCAGGAGTAGTTGAAGAGGCCACGAGTAATCACCTCAATGATTATCTAATCTATTGAATTTTTGATAAATCACAATAGCATTGATAAATTTTTGTTCACAAACACTTAGCTGCGCCTTGAGCATTTGACTGTCAAGTGGATTTGGCGCCTTATAAATCTTATGTATTATTATTATTATTATTATTATTATTATTAATACCACAAATGATACCAAAGCAGAAAAGTAATTTTGTTATTCACATGTCACTCTCGAGAGTAAGTTGATATAGTTACTTAAATTAAAAAGAAAGAAAGTAAAAAGGAGTCAGTATACTGTTTACGTTTCTCACCTGTTCAAAGTAGAATTGAGCAAGCTGAAAGGTGGCGACTGGATCTCCTTTCTTAACTTTGTCTAGTAAGAGTGCTTCCACTTTCTCATTCAGTTCCTGCTCTTCCTTATCTTTTCGCTCAGCATCATCTAAGATGTGTAAGCTCTTAGTACCGGCAGTGAGTTCTGTTCCAAGGCTACCTATGCTACCTGAGCGTAAGCTCTTTGTTCCTGGTAAAGGCTCTGCAGGAAGGGTGCTCTGCTTCGTCAGTGCATGCTCCATTTTTCTTTTCCTTTTTTTTCTTATGAAGCAGTTAAAGAATGATGGATGTATTTGTCTTATCTAAAGTATAAAAATAAATCAATTAATAATGGTAATAATTTGATGCGAATTAAAGTAAAGATGAAAACTGTGAGTTGGAGTTCCAAGTTAAAATCATGGTAGATAGATCTATCTAGTAATTTAGCACAATTAGCAGCAGCAGCAAACATCATAATTATACAGTTCATGTAGACTACTACTAGTAGACTACTACTAGTGTTTCTAGACTTCCGCAAATATTTTTTTGTGTCAGAAAAGACTAGTAAATTAGACTAAAACTTAATAAGTCCAAACTTCTTAAAAAATTACAAATACAATACAAATTAAAATCAATTCTCATTCTCAATTACTTGTAAATTCTCAATTAAATTACAATCATGACAACTAATAGAAAAATACTCCAAAAATAACAAGAAAATTGACACGAAACAGGCAAGGTACATAACGACTTTTAACTCATGATCTGACTTTAGATCTACTTGGTCTTGGACATTGAATGAATATTTACTTCATTTTGGGTATGTTTTAGTAGGGTATCTCCATGCCGGAGTTACGGGTCAAATTTTGGATACCTTTCTAAACAAGCGCCAATCTTTCTATTCTAACGTCATCGGAAAGTTGAGAAAAAAAATTGTACTTTAGGTCTGCTAATTTAGGTCAATAGATTCTAGAGTAAAGGAGCCCATTTTCGGCCACTTAAGACAAAATCCTATTTTTAGGACTCTTTACTTCCTATTTATTATCATTTCTTGTTCAAATCATGAAGCAAATATTATTATTATTTAAACGAAAAAAGAATCCCAGAAAAAAATCACAAATTGCCATGACAATATTCATTTCAATTTTCACTGTTTTGGAGCCGGTTATCGGCCGAGCGTTTCAGTTTACGGCCGCATGTACAAAGTCAATAGGAAGCGCTCGCGCGCGCCGTGCGTTTCCGCGCTGATGTACAGCACAAGCGGGCGGAGCAGGTATTCCACGCCGGAGCTCCCTGGTGCTCGCCTGGCCGAAGACAGGCACAGCGGTGATCGGAAGTTGGAATCTGAATTAGACAGAGATATCGTGTGTGCGTCGCGGTGTGCGGCTGCATTGATTTAATACATGCGATGAGATACTTTTGAGCTTGCGACTAGCACAAAATCGGGCTCTAAATCTGAAAAATACTTGAAATAAAGCTCATTTTATGGTACCCATATTTCTTACAGACACGCGTAAGATACTCGATTTTTCAGATTTGGGTAGCGGGACCGGCGATTACATCGCTAAAATGTGATATTTTAGGATATATTTTCCATTGCAAATGTGGTTCTTCAGTGACACTGGCATGGTATGGTATGTGTGGGATATGTGTTATGCTATTATGCGATGTATTTTAGAGTGATTTTACCTTGCATCCAACCAATCGGCCGAAAACTGGAGCTGGCCGATTACCGGCTCCGGCTTTACTCTAGATCTAAGTCACTACTAACAGTTAACGTTAGGTGTCATCAAGATCAATCGTCACTAAAGTACAGATTTTGAGTGAAATCAGTTGAGTTTTGTACAGTGGTGTTTGAAATGTTGAGAATCAATAAAGCTTTTAATACACAGCCAGGATAGTAATGCAGATATGACTAGATCTAGACTAGATCTAGACCTAGACTGTGTGGGCACAGCCGACTAGACTGCCACAGGTCCTCACACTCCACAACATAAAACTAAACAGGTGGGAACACACGGTATAACAAGAGCAACTTTAAGCTGGAAATTGTATCCCATCCTGGTAATGGATCACAAAAATACGAGAACTAGTTAAGTTCATTTTTAATTTTAAGAAACTTACACAGAAATTCCATCCTATTCTCTTGAAGAAAAGGGGGTAATTTGACCTTGATTAGCTTGACGGGATCGGGAGGTCGAGCAGCTAGCAGCGTCCTGTTGTCGTGGTGATCGTGATATCGATAGCGGTAGCATAGCGCATTAGCCGGTCTCGGCTGCCATAGACTGCCCACGTCTTTTTGTTTCGTTTTTTTGTTTGTTTTTGTTTTTGTTTTTGTTTTTGTTTTTGTTTTTGTTTTTTGTTTTTGTTTTTTGTTTTTGTTTTTTGTTGTTTGTTTTCGTTTTCTGTTTTTGTTTTGTGTTTGTTGTTGGTTTTGTTTTTAACGGGGTAGGGGATATAACAAACTTTATTCATTCGATATAACTAAGTTGATTGTAGTCTGTACTTTGTTCCAATATGTTATAAATTATAATATGTAATAGAGATACTAGTACTACAGAACAAAATATAGAGGGGGGGGGGGGGGGGGGTTATAACAATATTAATTCATTCAATATAATTGAGATTACTGTATTTTGTACTCTGTAATTGGTTCCAATATGTTATATATTACAATTTGTATGAATTAATATTATATATTGAGTGAATACAATAAAGAATATTACAAAACAAAAAAAATTAGCACTTTATAAACGCCGTGCCAAGGCGGTTTCGCAACTTGGCTAGCTTCATGTGGGCGCGCGCGAACGCTTTGAAATACCAGAATATGTTAAAAAGCTGTAAGAAAATAGAAAGAAAACAGGTTTTAAAGGAGATAACATTTGACGATCCGTTACAGGGATATTTCGGGGGGGGGGGGGGGACCCTACTTTGATGTTTTATATAGCCCCGCCGATTCAGTCACAGCTTATTCGGGTCCATGCACTTTTCCTACTCAAATGTGTAAGCCATTTCTGCATGATTAAAAATCTCAGAATAAGAATCCCTTTCCTTTCCGTTTCTATAAAGAATCTGTTCACATGTGTAAATATGGAGTCAGGCTAACTCGGGCCAGGGGACAACTCGGCCCAGCTGCAAAAACGGTCATTTTTTGCATGTTTAGGTTTGGGGTTGGGGTTAGGGTTAGAGTAAGGGTTAGAGTTAGGGTAAAATGACAAAAAATTACCGTTTTTGCAGCTGGGCCAAGTTGTCCCCTGGTCCGAGTTGGCCCGGATCCGTAAATATATGTATGATATATAAACATACAACACTCATTTCCCCCCTCAAAATACATAATCTCTTGCACCTCCCAAACACCCCCATCCCCCTCCCCCTCCCCTTCGTTCTCTATCGATAGCACCCATCACTTCGAACTCACATTTATCTTTTTTAACCCTGCCTATTTCCTTTTCATGTCTTCCTTTCTCTCTTCCCTTTTATTTTTATTTTTCTTTTCCTCTCGATCTTGCTTATATATATATATATATATATATATATATATATATATATCCTTTTATTTCCTTCTCTCTTTCTCTCTGTGTTCCTATCTCTTTATTTCTCATGACTGGGACATACAATATATATCTTTAGCTTTAGAACAAAAAGAAGAAGAAAAAAACAAGAAGAAAAAATATACATTAATAAGCTTTAGAGAAGAATGCATATTTCCTTCATCTATGAATTTTTTTATTTACACATAATAGTTTTGTCAAATAAATATGGAACAAAAAACATTTGATAAAGCCGCAGTACTGTTGTGATGCTGACATCCCATTGAAATGTGTGTTGAATGTAATATATCGATAAGCCTTTCGATGTCGGTAATCCTGTACTTATGATGTTTTCGTGAAATGATACCCTTGCTCTCAAAATTTCAAAGGCATTCAATCTCTTTACCTTGTACATCACCAGCAGTGAGGACACACAGCTTAGCATGCTACATAATTTGATTTTGTTAAACCCTGTCCAGACAATCAGACAATCGGGGGGGGGGGGGGGGGGGGGGGGGGGGGGTGTTTCATAAAGCTGTGCGTAGAGTTACTTAAGAATGACTTGAATATGAAGAGCTAAATGGGATTCTCAAATCCTTTTAATTGCATAAGCTAAAGTTAAAATATGCAGATGTAGATTGACCTTATCATTATTAACAAAACATTTCAATGCAAAGTGTATTTTTGGCTACAATTTAATTGAGATTATGACAAATACAGTCACACTTTGTTAAAATGTCAGGAAAAATTTGGGCATCCCATTTGGCTCTTCATATTCAAATCATTTTTTAAGTCGTTCGTCACTTTACGCACAGCTTTATGAAACACCCGCCAGACAACTGTATGTGCATATCAATGAGGTACTTTTGAATGCGATGTTCAACTTATTAGGGTAAATTTGGTTTGAAATAAAGATCCAAACTATTCCATAAAAACATGAGTGATGAATATCATTCACTACTTAATAACAAATTCACAGCATTTTCTTCGAGTATTTAACATTACATTTAAATTCTTACATAACTTTAAAATAATTTAAATGTTTTTAACATAGTCAAGGCTATTTATTCTTTGTGCAGAAGTTGCCTTGGACATTTTCAAACTATACTGTGTTAAATGGGTCCATGTGTTGAAGGGCTCCACTAAAAAACTGCTTTGTGACCCCAAGTTTTCTTGAAAATCTTGAAAATAGGTGGTGATTTCTTTCAAAAGCTGTTTAGGAGCATGAGACAAGAAAGTGTGAAACTAGAATATGTCCACAGGAGACTGGTCACTTGGATGTCCGTGTGAGAAACGGTCAGCTTGGAGGTTCAGGGATGATCAGCCAGCATTGAAGATGGATGGTCAGCTACCCTTGCGGTTGGACGGGAAGGGTCAATGTTAACGTCTGTAAACACACATAGAGCAATCACAGATTACAGTTACACTGCATGAACTAAAAAAAATGTTCCAGCACCTGTTCCACAGAAGACAGCATCTGTAAACGTATGTGAGTCACTAATCACATAATTTCACTACATGGATTTATAGTTGTATACATTGTATAATGGTAAATGATTCACAAATTTGCCAGAATTTTCTATATCTAAGATTCCAGAAATCTAAAAATACCTAAACCTCTCATTATCAAATTCACAGAATAAATCTGTTTCCTAAGTGATGAACTAGTGAAAAATAACATTTGAACTATTCTTTTCTGAAATGCAATTTCAATGGAATTACTGAAATAATATGACCTCAAAACCACATTTTACTTTTGAAGTTCAAAATTTTGACGTCAAACATCATTGTTTGCATGCCCAACACACTGCTTAGCAGCTAACATTGGAGTGGAATTTCTCTATAACCTCTGACATTTTTTCCCCTCCCTAGCACAATAGATCAAGATCAATGCTATTGGATAGTTCACCAGTTTTAAGAGTAAAGAGCTGGAGTTACATGTACCTGTGTGTCTCTGTTGAACTGTGATCCACTGAAGTCTTGGTCTACATCAAAGGGAAGATAGATATCTAGATGATATGCCTTAGGGTGAGCATGTAGTAAGATACGATCTTCTCCTAAGTCTACAGTCAATGTGTTTGCAGTTTTCTACAAGGGAGAGAAATATAATTACAGGAGAGTAAATAAGACAGATATATATAGATAACAGGGTACTTATGAAGTAGAATATAAAATACTGAATCAATGCTATTTCTAACTATTGCTGTTTATAAAGTAAGAATATTTCTCATCAGTAGACATCAGTGAGGCACGGCCCACCTGGTCATGTGCAAAATGCCTTCAGATAAAAAAAAAAGAACTGCAACATCCTCATCCATATACGTGGCTGTAGGAAAGATGGAGGAACTACAGTATGTGCAACTGTGACAAGGAACAGATGTTGACAAACCCTTTGGTCTGCCCCCTCCAAACCAGAACCCTGTGCCCTCAAAGGCCTATACAGGTTCAACACCAAGGCCAGATCCTGTATCCTGCACTGGACAGGGCTCGTGTATGTGACCTTCTGTACTTGTTGAAGTACAGGCCACCATGTTGTTGGTGTATCTTCATACTTTGGGGTTGTGCAGATATATATGTACAGTGTGGAAGATCTAATCTATGTGCGGTTAAAAAGAACAGGCGCAATCCTAGTGCAACTGTGTTTTCTGCACCTCAGTCTTTAAGCTGGCTACTGAGGTACAGGCGATTGCACTTGCAGGGAAAACGTTCCACAGTCTGATGGTGTCAGGAACAAAGGTTTTCTGATATGTGCAAGTATGACCTAACAAGAAGAATCAGCCGATCTACTCACCACTCCAGGTAGCTCTACATCCACTACTAGAAATTCAGGATGTCCATCTATAGGTTCTCTCATGATGATGTACTTTGGTTCAGGTGCCTTCTCACTGTTTGTGTCAATGACCTCTGTAACCTTTGAACTCTTGACATCTGATGAGATCTATAGTACATATAATGTATGTTTTGAGTATCCAAATTTCATTTTGTTCATTATTTATTAATTACTGTTCCTTATTTAATTGTTATGATTTGAATCTTTCTTTTCTGTTGTAATAGCGCTCTGATCAGTTTTGTCTGTTATAGCGCTCAATAAGAAGCAATTATTATTATCATTATATTGGAGAATACAGTGGAAGCTGTCTGAAACTATTCTGAACAAGATTGCAATCACCAAGTTTAACTGATTAAGAAACCGTGTATGTGTCTTGTTTTCAAAATTGATTATCTGATATCAAATTCTAATAAGTAAAAATGTACTACCAATACTGCATAAGTAAACTAGATGGAATTCGACTGCGCGCAGTCGAAAATGATGCCTCCGTCATAGAGCAATTTTACAAACCGAAACGGAAGAAATTTTTCAAATTCAAGTTCAATTGTAATCCATTAACATGTTCTCAGAATATCGTGATTACAAGCAATTTCTCATAAACATATATGACCCTTTGATCTTTGACCTCATGACCCTAAAATCTACTCAGTTCATTGGCTCTGCAAGATTTCCTGAGTTAAATAGTAATCCATCTGTCAGTTCTAATGAGAATGCGTCCACAAGCTATTTTTGCATACATAATGAGCCCATGACCTTTGATCTTATGAACCATTCATTGGCTCTGCAAGATACATAAATGATCTAAGTTTGGCAGGAATCCATCAATCTGTTCTAATGATAATACGATCACAAGCTATTTTTGCATACATAATGAGCCGCATGACCTTGACCTTTACCTCATGACCCCAAAATCTAATCAGTTCATCAGCTCTGCAAGTAACATACATGACCAAAGTTTGGCAGGAATCCATCAATCGGTTGTTCAGATAACGCGATCACGAGCTGTTTTTGCATACATAATGTGCGCTGTGACCTTTGACCTCGTGACCCCAAAATCTAATCAGTTCATTGGCTTTGCAAGATACATACATGACCAAAGTTTGGCAGGAATCCATCAATCGGTTCTTCAGATAACGCGATCACAAGCTGTTTTTGCATACATAATGAGCCCTGTGACCTTTGAACTTTGACCTCGTGACCCCAAAATCTAATCAGTTCATCAGCTCTGCAAGATACATACATGACCAAAGTTTGGCAGGAATCCATCAATCGGTTGTTCAGATAACGCGATCACAAGCTGTTTTTGCATACATAATGAGCCCTGTGACCTTTGACCTTTGACCTACGTGCTCCAAAATGTAATCAGATTGTTTTCCTATAGTGATACACACTATCACTAAGTTTGAAGTTTAAATCTCCAGTGGTTCTTGAGATATCATGATAACAATCTCAATGTATGGAATTTCATAAGTTGACCTCTGTGACCCTTGACCTTTGACATACGTGCTCCAAAATCTAATCAGATCGTCTTCCTATGGTGATACATACTATCCTTAAGTTTTAAGTTTAAATCTCAAATGGTTCTTGAGATATCGCGCTAACAAACTCAATACAAGGAATTTCATAAGTTGACCTCTGTGACCTGTGACCTTTGACCTACGTACTCCAAAATCTAATCAGATCGTCTTCCTATGGTGATAAATACTATTCCCGAGTCTTAAGTTTAAATCTTAAATGGTTCTTGAGATATTGTGATAACGGTCAAACGGGACGGACGGACGGACGTACGGACGGACGTACGGACGTACGGACGGACGGACGTACGGACGTACGGACGGACAACCCGAAAACATGATGCCTCCGGCACCACCTTCGGTGGCGGAGGCATAATAAAATGAAAATCATTAAAATGTTGGAATATATTTCTGTTAGAGTGATGTGATTCTGTGAAGTATCTTGGACTTGGATCTTGTAGGTTATTTTTGTTAACTTTTGTTTGTTTTCTTTATCCCTAACTAACCTCTGTAATGAGTGGCTTCGATGACTGTTGATTATCTTGTGGACTATATTGTTGACTATCTTCATGTGTGGAACCCATGTCTAAGATGCGAGGTTTGGACTTGGTACGGAGATGATGCTGATGGAGAGTTCCAAGACATTTCCTCTTCTTCATCTGAGACCAACCTGTTATAGAAGTATCAAAGGTAATATAAAGTTTTGGTATGGGGTCATGAATTTGGTTCAAATGAACATATTGGAAGCTTATACGATTTCACAATATCCAATAATCGTTGTTGGTTGAAATCAAGTCTAAAGTGATGAAATTGTAAATAATAAACTCTTTATGTTGTATAGCTCCCTCTCAAGACTGATATTACTTTAGCTTTAAAACAATGTTTCCTGACTTCAATCGGCGACCAATTTGCTATTCCCGTTAAGAAATTATTTATCAGAACTGCATATTCTGAGATGTTCATTGTTGCAGCTACTATGGAATGGCCTTAGGCGCTATTTGTAATATTTGAAATTTACCAGGAGCACGGTAAAAAATTTATTATTCAATTACTTGAGAGCAGAAGTGGTTTAGGGGCTAAATTCTCTAGTGCTTATAATATATCCACAGGGACATCCAACTATATCACAATTTTTAAGAATTACTATCCATCCAATTTTCAAAATTTCCCCAAACTTTGCATTAACTTTAATATTACAATTATGCTTTCACTCTTTAGCGCTTAGAGACTTCGGTGGTAAGCGCTTTATAAGCACCGTTTTTATTATTATTATTATTATTATTATTTAAAGAAACACATCTTTAGAGATATATTTCATGAGTTTTACCATCATTTATTTATTTGATTGCCACTGTTGATTGCCACTGTTTTTCTTACCTTATCTATGTTACTTTTGTATTTTTGCTTTTTCTTCTAATTTAATTCTACGGGTTATAGTCTTCTCTTAATCAGAACACTGTGCGCTTAGAAACATCAGTATTAAGCGCCTAATAAATGTTATGTATTATTATTATTTATTATTATTTGGAAATGGGTTTAGTATCTTTTCAACTTTTCCCGTATAGGCCAGGTAAGAATCAGCACATACTTTGATTTCATTTAGCTTCATTTTTTCTTTACCATATGCTACTGTAGTATTTGAAAAAAATTAAAACATTAACTTGAATTGAATATCACTATCATTATTCAACAAGGAGATGAAGACATTTATAACCATTGATGTAAAACTGTTTTTGTATACACTCTTCTTAGAGAAAACTAAAGGCAAATGTTGTTACTTAATTCTGTTCAGAAAGCCGAACGTTTCATCTATACCTCACATTGTATGGCTAGTGTGACAACTATCTAAAACATAAATATTTATGCTTTTAAATTTGTCGAATGAAATTGAATAGAGTATAACTTCATAAACTCATATCCTGCCATAAGGGTGCATGCACGCTACCACTACAGTGCTTTGTAGCGCTATGGATTTGCTGCTTTGTTCACGCAGGCGAGCTATCGCTTTGCTGCTTCATGCATGTTTGCTCGCATTCGTAACAGCAGTTATTGTTCATGCCCTTTGTACTGTGCTCAGGGCTTCCCACATGCTATAGATCGCACCATCATATTATCAGATTATCTCAATTTGTGGCTTGGCACAATGGCTGTATTCATTATGGCACGATAAGAGTTAATATCTTCAACTTTCAAGTCCTGAAAATACTAACAGGTCCAACTCTTTTAGATGGAATCTCAAAAACAACAATTGCTGAAAGTTCCTTCAATTCGAGACTGACCTCTCTGAAGTAGGATGTTATATTTCTGCTCCAATCCTTCAAAGACAACAGACATGAGGAATCCCTTGAAGAGATTGCTCTTTTCTACCTTCTCAAAGAATTCATTGTTGATCATGACATCATATGCAGTACACCCATTTCCAGCTGTGTAGAAACAAAACAATGAAATGCTATTAGAATGTCTAGTTGCTAACACCAATGTAAAAAATCAGAAGGGTATGATGCCCACATGTATAATGGAGGCATACATGTGAAATGTATTGATAGGACTCTTGACCACAAATGCATGTACAAGTGGACTTTGGTCGTATCAAAACATTATTCGGCAGACGACAAGAACAGTACAGCTGATTTGAGTCAAAATCCTTTGAATGTAAAATATGCCAAGGAATTTTGAAGATCAAAGGCTGTTTAATCTAACCACAGTCCTGTGACCTCACTGAAAAACTTATTCAGAATAATAAAAGACCATGTTTTCCACTACATGGGTTTACCCATTAATTTGAATGAGAAATAGTCCAGTAGAATTTAAACATGCATATTACTTTGGAATACTGAGATAATCTGACCAGGGAGGTGAAAGAAAAGGAGGCGAAACTCTTGTAATTTATTCAAACGCATTCTTGAGTTCTAAAGCGTAACAATGGGATGTGTAACATTCCACTTGGCTTTGAAGTTCCATGCTCCGAACCGCGCTTCCGGGACTTTCGGAAGCCAGGCACCAGTTTTACATTTATTACAAAATATTAAATTACCAGCAAAATTTCAGTGTAAATCAAAAACTTTATATGGGGATTTTATTGGGAATAGTGCATCAAACAAATTTTCAAATTTAAAACTCCGTCCTTCCTTTAATTTGTGTGCCAGAGTTGGTAAAAGAAAAATTACATCCTGTCAAAAACTCAATATTTTAGGATGATGCGCTAATTTGTGCATGCTTTAATGTCCCGTTATTTGATCCATGGTTTACAATCTTCAATAACATTAAGTTTGCTAATGCGTGTTTTCGCGTGTTTTTTGTATTTTTCAAGTTTAAAAAAGGGTGAAAGTACACAAGTTTGTGTTCGCTTGTTCTACTCTTTACACATTCAACAATGGATGAGAAATCATTGGAAGGGACAGCGAACAGTTGCAGTGATACCATTTTCTGATGTAGGAATTCTAACTCCTGAAATTTCATGCGCTCTTTTATCTCACCACCTGGTCAACAGTTGCAGATTAGCGCATAACTTTTCGGCGGCTTGGAGCATGGGGTCAAAGGAGAGCGGCTTGATTCCAGTCCTTCTCTATCACGTCCCTGATCTGACTGAGATAATCTTTTATCTTTATACATTTGTTATCTTCTGCTTGTAAGTGTCAGCATGCATGGTGATGTAGATATACAGTAGGCTTGCGGGTCTCACATGGTGCACCCACAAGCCTACTGTATATCTGTTATCTTGTCTTATAATACAATTTCCAAAACTCACAATTATCTATTTCAGCATGCGGTTCTCCAATACTAAGAGGCACTCTGTAGTCACTCAACTCATCTGAGTCCAGAAGTTTTATCAGCTCAGATTCTTTCATATCTGCAGGTGCAGGCATCTAAAAGAGAAGTGAGAAAAAAGGGAAACTGCTGTTCAATGATAAAGCAAACCATCTTTGTAACTTTTTTATATAAAGTTCAAGTTAAAGCAAAATGCATACATTTCTATATTTCTAAAATTGTAATATCATTAAATATGATTATTCAATATTTCAAAGGAATACTTTAAAGAAACATTGGATATTACCGGTAAGCCCGATTTGTTAAGATGACACCCACAGGGAATGCCTGTGAAATGAAATGGAAAGGGTCTCCAACACATCTTTTGAACATTTATATAGTTCTTCCATAGTTTCGATTTGTGCTGTGAATAGTTATCCAGGCCAAGTTTTCACTTTATTTAACGTTATTGCCCTAAAAAGAAGAAAAAAGAAACATACAAGCTTTTTAACCTGGCTTCAACATTGTAAAGGCTAAGGGTGAATTCAAACTTACCTCTGTTGTTTTACACAGATTGATAAAGACCTTCTTTCCGGAGTTATCTTTAGTCTTGATGCAGACTCCAGGTTCAGGGGTCACAACATTGACCTCTGATTGGCTCGGGTCTGGAGTAGCATTTCCAAACAGTCCTCCTGCATTCTCATTGGCCTTTCACACAAACGATAGACAAGGAATTATAATTCTTTTTGCACTTTTAACATGGCAAGGAATGAAAGGTGCGACACAAATGGCAGGTGAAAGAGTTGCATGGCGTGCTGAAGGCCACAGCAGCGCTTTACAGCGCCGCCTGAAAATGACGATGATGAACACGGCAGAGAGAATAGCGATTGGTATGTTTATCAAACTCAAACCATGATGAACATTGACTGTATTTATTGAAAATGAAGAATAAGGTGAATGAGAAGCATGAGAGGAACAGGTCTAAACACAAACATTCACACAAAAGCAAGTCAAAATAATTGCACACTCCGTAATCGTGGTGACTTTCTAAATGGATCTAGCGTAAAAAGATGGAGTCAGGCTTACTCAGACCCGAGGACAACTCGGCTCTAATGCAAAAACGGTCATTTTTTGCAGGTTAGGATTAGGATAAGGGTTAGGGATAGAGTTAGGGTTAGGGTTAGGGTAAAATGACCAACAACAAAAAAAAAATTTAAAAATTAAAAAAAATAAATAAAAAATATGACCGTTTTTTTTGCATTGGGGCTGAGTTGTCCCTGGGTCCGAGTTAGCCCAGATCCTAAAAGACACACTCCCAAACTTATTTCTTAAGAAGAAGATGTGGAAGATTGCTGGCTATCTCTGTATTTTGATAAATAAACCTGCTAGAATAGTTCCACTTTGTCAATTTAATAGGGATTGAATGGGTGGAACAAATCAAATGACAAAGATTTAGAAAGTAAAACAAATAAAAAAAAAGAATGGGCTGGGGCAGTAGTCTAGTAAAGTGAAAACTGTCGTTGTCTTTATCAGACTTTAGGACAAACTCTGACTCTGACTTTGGAGTCTTACACATGCTAGACTGTGAATTTAGAAGCTAGGAATATCAAATATAAGGGAGATTATTATAACAAATAGGAAAAGGCAGCAGTGGAATAGAATCACCACCGTCAGCAACATTAACATGAATATGAACAAAGGACATAGTCTAGATCTAGATTACAATTTAGTAGGACAGGGGGTTGGGTGTCCGACCCTTAAAGGTACTATGTCCCTTTTGCACCCAACCTCAAATGCTGTAGAACTTTGCAGGTATTATGAATATGTCATGTATGTCCTATCTGTGAAATTTAAACATTAGCAGTGTCCTAATATTTATATTATGCAAGGAAACCCGTTAACTTGCTAGACTTCACTGTCAGACACTATTGAGTGACTGACTGGCTTTTTTTCTTCTTTGGTAATAACATACATGAAAAGAGTTGTAAAGGGCAGGGGTCTTGTTAATTATTTTTGAAGGAGGTAATTTGAATTTTATAGGAGGTACCATCACTGCGAGGGAGCGAAGCGACCGAGGGGGGAGGGTGTAGGAGGGGGGTGTCCCCCTCCCACGGTAGGGACCTTTTGGGATTTTCCACTTGAAATCGTGCAATCTGGTGCATACCTAAGAAGAATATTTGTAGTTATCTTTCCTACCTTGTATTACACATATATTGTAATAAACACACATATTGTTCATGTTTAATATTACATGAACAATCATAACTCATAAGAAAAGTTATTAGATCTAAGTTGATAATTATTTATCACTTTGTACCATTACTTTGTAATTTTTAATTAAACTGAGATGATGCACCATACTCAATCTTTCTACATCATGATTTGTTGAATACATGTACAGTATTTAAATAATGGGCAGCATAGGCTAGATTTTGATTTTTTTTTTACTTGTGACTTTTATTTGGATCGGAAGTTAGTTTTGAATATTCGCGGAGCGCGAGCCTGCATATATCATGCGAGCTAGCTGCGGGGGTCCGCCGGGGACGGCCGTGGCCGGCCTAAACTCAGCCGAGTTCAAAACTCTGTTGTCGATTTGCGCATCTCAGAATCTAAAGTACGTTGTCTCTAGACATTGCACGCACGTGTATAGGCCCCGGTTTCTGTGATCTTCAAATATCAAATCGGCAACGGATAGTTTGGTTACAGCGAGCTAGCTTCAGTTTTGTTGTGCAGTGCATCGTCTTGTCGCGTGCACATCGGGATCGCAATGGGGTAGGGACGGGCGGGCTTGGCCGCCGCGCTGTGGGGGGAGAACGTTAGATAGATAGGTCTAGGTAAGTACGGACGACGTCGCGTTCGTGATCGTAAGGGATTTCGTCGACTGCGGCCGTGTATGTGCGGCACTAATTATATCTTGGACGAAATTAAGGAAATTTTGGATTAGCATTGATTTAGATCTACTTTCTGTGATTTTTGCAAGGTTTATTCTATAGGAATTATAGCCGGTAAGAAACGAGTGAATAGGCGGCAAGTTTTACCGGTTACCGGCTTTAAACGACAGCCCTGAAAGGGTACATGAGCATTTGTCTACATCAATAACCCACTTCTTGTGATGGCCAAGATTAAACTGATTGAATCTTTGCGCAGCATAAACGTACGACCATTTGGTACAATTGTCTGAAAATCAAGACTATTACTTTTGGGCTCTATAGCCCTAAAGTCGATTTGACAACTAATAGTTGTTATTTTCCCACTTGAAGACATTTTCAAGCCCCACATGTTTTAGGGAAGTTCTAAATTAGTATTATCTTTCAAATGCAGTTGGAATTTAACTTTTATATTTTTTGGCCTGCAAATGGGACATAGACCCCTAGTACCTTTAAACTCATATTTTCCATTAGATTTTTTTTTTGTTCTTTACTGAGACATTACGGTAGATAACTTCACAAAGGTGCACGGTGCGCCCGCCCACAACCCGCCATCGGTATGCACTTGTATTGTGCAGTGGTTTGCTTTGAAACCTGTGAAAAAGTGTATGCTAATATCAACGTTTTTACGAAAAATACTCCAAAAATAACAAGAAAATTGACACAAAACTAAAAGGTAATAAACATAGGCCTAACGAATTTTAACTCATGATCTTTATTTGGACATTTAATGAATATTTACTTCATTTTGGGTATGTTTTTAGTATGGTATCTCCACGCCAGAGTAACAGGTCAAACTTTGGATAGGTTTCTGAACAAGCGCCCAGTAGACCCCTACTCAGGGTCAGTAGGGCCTAAACACCACCAGCAATTCAACAGGTGGGATCACGGATATTTATTTAGACCTAAGTCACCTAGATCTAGTGTTAAGATAGAGCTGTCTAGACCTAGTCTACTTCTTATTTTTGCTTTCTTTCAGTAGACTATTGATAAAAAATATACTCCTTGAAAATTGAATGTCATACCTGTAACAACAAATGTTTATAGAGACTTTCTTCGTCCAAGTCCAGAAGACTTTTATCACCTTTCATTTCAGTCGCCATGGGAGCTGCCATCTTGTCAGTAGCTAGCTTGCTAAAATCATTGTCGATAGAGGGCCGGGCCACTTTTTCTCACAGATCTTCAGTTTCGTGTTTGTGTACTGTAAGGGGAAAGATTTCCCTCTCCCCCGCCCCCCCCCCCCCCCCCCCCCCCCCTCCAAAAAAAATCCACAGAATGTGGAGGATATTGAATAACTAATGGGCCAATATTTAACAAAAATCATGGTTAAAAAAACCCCGAGAGTTTGTACATCTTACCTAATTTCTTTCTTAAAGGGGAATTCTACCCTCAACTTTTATTCCAACAGATGAAAGACAAAAGAAAAATAAAGAAATAATTTATACGTGTACGTACAATGTATGAGTCTGATGGTTTTCATTATTTGTTTACATATTTTTTTAGCTGAGATTATTACTGGCAAAGTTTTTATTTTGTGAAGTGATCTCTCCTAAAAAATGTCATGAACCAACATATTAATTTCCCTCTCCCCTCTCCCTTGATTTTTTTTCTTCAACTGGGCATGCGACTTCCCCAGACCACAGCAACGATTAACGTAAATTAAAAGTAATTGTAGTTTTAATATGATTTTGATTCCATACATGGAAAAATCTTTTTGATCTGGATCGATCTACATGAGCAAATTAGAATAGAGCTGTTTAGTAATTATTCAATACATGCATGTTTCTTTCCAAATCTCTGCTACTAACTATAGCTATTTCACCTGTTATGCATAATGGCATCTAAATATAAATGACATCCAGTGTGGAAAAATTAATAATAATAATAATAATCTTTTAAAGTCCACCGAAAATGGAAATTCTTTTTGCCCAATTGATTGTGAGCCCGGCAGCCACTGAGCAGCGCCAGATCGACGTTGCTCTATCCCTTAGCTGTTGCTATATCATGCAAACTTCTTTATTGTCAAGAGAAATTTTTGTTTAAGATATATGCACATAATTATAAAAAATATGTCTATCATCTGTTGCCGAATGATTCAAGTATTTTAGTTTTCCAGAATGAATAAAATAGTACCTTTGCTATACAAACTATATATATATATATAGAATTATCGATCTAATCAATTTCGATTGCATAGTAAGTAACCCACTAGTATCCTCAGAGATACATATAGGTTTTAAGACAGAAGTTCATTTACTGCCACTAGTCTCAGGTAAAAGATAAAGAAACAATACAAAACCACATATCAAACACAGTGATGGCAAAGAAGGTAATATTGCATTTTAAAAAAGGTTTATTCCAAATTTCAGAATATTTGTAATATTCCATGTCAAAAGCAACGTGTACATGAAATGTATGACATTTCAAACATTATGCAACTCACACATGAAATCATTTTACATTTAACTTAAATACAAAAATCTTTCAGTTTTCCATTTTACTTTTACTAACCGTATACAACCATGATTAATTAAAAGTATGTATCAGTACTTTACTTTAGAAAACACTTTCCTAAGTGTTCTGTTTTCCTAGAAGTTAAACACATGTACACATACGGTACATATATTTAAGATAGTAATTGTATACTTGTTGAATTTTATTTTATATGTAAAATTATTGTAATGAAATAAATGCCCTTACTAATTCTGCATGAAAGCTTACAAACAAATATCTACTTTATAACAAAAACTTGTTCCCTATATATAAAAAACACATGGAATGAAAGTATTGTCTTGACAATCAAATGTGTCATTTAAAATAATCTAAAACTCAATGTTTAAAAAGTGCAAATACATGTATCATCTCTTCCTCTCATAGTCAAATAGTCAACATTGCACAAGGTACAAACACAACATCAGGGTAAAGCACGTTGTTATAATAATGTAAAACAAAGTGGCAGTGAGTAAAATAGTCATGGAGAGGGAAAAGAGGTAAAAACGTCAATTCTTACAATAATGCTTGCTATTCAACAACATAAATCTACTTTCCTAATTCTATTTAAGACCAGCAAAATTTACCATCATATAAAACTGATGCATGGAAAAGTAAGGTGGCAAAAAATCATGCAAAATTTTACGACTACGAGATTTATTTAACATATAACAAAAACGCATCAATCAAAGTACAGGAGATAAAAACGCATCAATCAAAGTACAGGGGATAATGATTGTTCTTGTAATGATTGTTGCCAATAATTAAGTACCTAATGATAGAAATTGATGAACAGTGCATATTTTTGTTATTTACTTTTCTGATTATGATTGTTCTATTACAATTCACTATGGAGACCAAATGATTTACAAAATAATATCACTTTTTCCTATCTTACATTATAATTTCCTCCGCACAAAACAAGACTGAAAGCATAATATACTTACCGGTACTGGTAGATACATGTATCTGGGTGATAAAAATACTCTACATTTCTTTAATAATAATAATAATAATAATAATAATAATAATAATAATAATAATAATAACTTTTACTTACCATATATAGCGCTTTTCCTAAGACATTTATATCAAAGCGCTTTACAATATTGATACAAGTAAAACTAAACAGAGTAATGATAAGAGAACAAATTTAAAGTGAAATTATCAAACATAAGATAACAAGGTAAGGTAACAACTTAAAAACTAGGTTGAATATGCATTTCCCATTAGGTAGGTTTTTAATTTTGATCTAAACAAAGTAATATCAGGATGCAACAAATGGAGGCTGGAAGAGAATTCCACAAACGTGGAGCAGAGCATATACTAGTCCTGAGGGTGAATCAAACAATACATTCACATGATGACAACAGACAAGTAGAACTTAATTGTGCTTCTAAATGTCATACTTCTTAGAAGACTCCAAATAATTTAATTTGTCAATTTGGCATGAACTACACCTGTACTATCTTATAATAATAATAATAATAATATTCATTTGTAAAGCGCAATAACTATGTGGATATATTCTATTGCGCTGCAAGAGCTCGTAAATGCTGTGCTATACATACTATATGAACATTAATATCTAAATTTCAAGAATAAAGACCAAAAAAAAGGAGTGGTTTATTATATCCAAGGAAGCACACACAGAGATAAAATGAGATAAATCAATCAAATCAAATCAAATAGGTAATGCCGACAAGTAACATAATGCAAGTAATGAATAATAATACATGTTTATTAATATTCTGCGTTTATATAGCGCTTAATACATAGACGATGTATGAAAGCGCTTTACCAATATTTTATTACCCCGTTCATCGGATTCAAGCTCACCTGCACACAACATGTGCACATTCTCCACTCCCTGGGGAGGTGCCATTTGACAGAAGCTCACAATGCTGAGCATACTACATTAACAATTGCATCCTACCCGAGTACCCGTTTATCACCCAGGTGGAGAGTGGCAAATGTTGATTAACATCGTGCCAAAAGAATTTAAAGTCATGCTGAGATTTGAATCCCGTACCTTGTGATCTACAGTCCGGCAACTCATCCACTAGACCACAACACCTCTATATAAGGCAAGTATGCTAGAAGGTAACATCATACGCTTCAACCCATTTTTACCCTGTCCTAAAAGAAATTTCATTCATTTGTAAATTTACAAGTAATACAGTATTGATCAAGTAGTAAGGCCATTGGTAATTATCTTCTTAGTAAATTTAGATTGTATAAGGCCATCATAACAATAACATTTTCGATCCAACATTAAGATATGAATATCATTCAAATATGACGTAATAAACCACAGCTTTTTGTTTACTACAGGTAAATGAATGGCAACTGAGTGCAACTAAGGTCCTATGGAAGTTCACTCATTTCACTGAGCTCTGTGTTATAAGATACAGGAATATAAAGCTTATTACACTTTCATCAAAAACAAACCCTCGAAACAGCAGTTTATTTACCAAGTTATATATGAACAAGGATTTAATGCTAAAGAGAGGTGTAATGTTGGACCCCCTGCTGAATTTATGAAATTCATTTATTTTGACAGTAGTGTTAAAAATTGGCAAAAGAACCATTCCTGTCTGAGCATGTGTCTTAAAATCAACACACTTTATGTTATCAGCACCTCTTGTAAATTTAGAAATCAACACAATAAAAAAATGATACATTTTTGCAGGGTCATATTTAGGCCTTGCCCCCTAATTGATGGATAATAATTGTATTAAAAACTTCATTACTCTCCAGATTTCTACATTAATTCTAACTAGGGGAATATCGTCTATAACAAATCTACCAACATAATTTATATATAAAAAGGATAATTCTTGAATTAAAAAGATTAATACATATCGTTCTTACTGGTACTAACAGTCAATAAACACCATAGGCTTACACAATTTCCGCCATAAATGACTGTACCAGCAGTCAATGGTAATACACCTGTGTATTATTGCTACCCATGATGACAAAATTGTTGTTGCCTGATATCCTGAAGTTGTTGCTACCTGTGGCTGGTGGTAATGATGATGGTGATGGTTGTGGTAGCTGTGGTGGTGTCTGTTGTACTGATTGTGATTTTGGTTGGAATGTCTGAGAGCTGAGTGTTGAAGGCTGGCTTGGCGTGTCTTCATCCATTTGAGTGATTCCTAGATCTGGTTGCTCTGTACAAAATAATCCGAAACAAATATTGCTTGGGATCTATAATAACAATATGCTTTTACATAGTTCCTATAAAAAACCCAAGATGAAACACATTGATGAATAGAACTTTGCTGTATGTGACCATATAAATGGTACAAAATCTGAGACCGACACACTACCTTCTAGAAAAATTAGTTTTATATAAAGAGAAGCTTAGAATTAATGAACAGAACATTATTAGAGAACAAATAAAAAGCCTCATTATTTATAATTCATTTGTGTAATATCATGATTCATACCACCTTTCCTAGAGTTCAGTTTTATCAAACCTCACTCAAGCAGTTTGGGATTCATGAATGAAGCACATTTGAAGAAAAGAGGTGGATTCATTTACTTTTTTTTCTTGATTCGAAGTAAAGAGAACCCACACATAGCCAATTTCAAAGGACACGGACACGGATTATTATATTATTATTATTATTTCATAGAGAAAAGGCAAGAACTACTAATTTGAATGTTACCTGATTGAGGGCTATTTGGTGCAGGTACGGGGAGTGTGGCTGGATCAATCTCAGTAGAATCTAGTCTTTGTACCAGATGTTCATAGACTTCCTTTTCTAGAAGTGACTTCCTGAAGGCTTGGTAGGCTGTTGGTCCTCTCTGCATCAGTTTGGTCATCAAACGTCTCGTCCTTTTCTGTTTGAAAGATCAATCATTCATCATTATATTTTTTTAACTTATGAACAAATAACTTTTAAATGCATATTTATAAAATAATATATATATACAATGTGTAAAGACTGAATAAAAAACAGAATTTCTATACAAATAATACCAAGATATAAATAACATTTATTGTGACAATACTGAATTTAACATGAATAAATACTCTCAGAGTTACTGCTTTTAGATACAGAGAAGAAGGAAAAAAAGAAAAAAAAGCTGGAGACAAAATTTAGCTTATATGTAGTGATATATATACCAATACTAATTAATCTAGAGAGAGTAAGAGACTGAGTAAACAGAGGAGAATAAGAAACAGAGATATATAGTTAGAAAGAAAGAAAGAGAGAGAGAGAGAGAGAGAGAAATAGAAGGGGAAGATTATTGCCAGCAGGCAAATGTATGATTTTCTGGATAGGTAAGCTGAGGGTTTTACATCACTATAGATCCATTATGTGAACAGTAATCTACACAAAATCAACACCTGTTCACATTCAAAGTATGTTAACATTATTCCAATCCTAACCTTTTTAGTTTCTGCAGCTTCAATCTCTTCAACCATCTCAAAATCTAGAATGAGATCCTGAATAAGATATGGGATGACATCTTCACTATTCAGGGAATCTAGGAGATAAGTCCAATTCTTCTGCAGTACCATACGATCCATCACATCCATTGCACTTTCTGTAGTTGTCTGAAAGGAAAATAGAATATAAAAACAATGCATGTGAATATTAAGAGTATTCAAATTAGGAAGGGTATTTTCTTGGCTTGTATAGTTGGTTAACTCAGCAAATGGATCAGGTCAAAACTGCCATAGCAATTAAGTACCGGTATCAACTTTCAAGAGGTTAAAGATGTTCAAGCCTGGGTATATGGAGGGCAGCACACAGACACCGCCATAATTTCCTGAAGGAAACTCAGTGTGTACATCGGAGCAGTCATAGGAAGTCTGCATGAACATTTGCAGTGTATGTACAGTGCATACAAAGTGAAATATCATGTACTTCTAATTCCCATCACATATCAAATAAAAGATTAAATTGTAAATAAACATATTTTACAGAACTATAATAATGTGCATTTTTAAATGTATTCAATTAATCACAACATATAGCTAAATTAAAAACTAAAATACAAACAGTCAATAAAAACTTGGGCTAAATCAGGCGTGAATGACTAGACTCGGTCGTTCGTGAAGTAGACAAGTTGGCGATCACTACATAACAATGAGACCACGGGTATTACGCTCCTGTGCTCTAAAATTTCGCAAGATGGACCTGTATTGCACGTCCGTGTGCTGCCCTCTATATACCCAAGCTTGAGCAACTTTAAGGTGCTACAACACTAGACCTGCTGACAGCACTTGCTGTTTTGGCCTTAGAAGTTGTTGCAGTATTCACTGATTTAAATGGTGATCCATCCCTCTTCTTCTTCTTCCTTTTGAGTACAGACCTCTTTACAGAGTATTATCGTACTATACTGGGGGCGTGTGCAGGTGGACCACTACACTGGGGTTTCCCCCTACTCTTATACGAATAGTGCAGTGGGTTCTTAACGTGCAAAGATAGTGACTCTTCTCTACACGGGGGCCTCCATTTAACGTCCTATCCGAGGGACGGAGTGTTTTCCACTTAACATAACCTGCATCTATGAACAAGGGAAGGGGCACGTTAACACACAACGCAGGCTTCAGTCATCCGCCTGGTTGGGAGTCGAACCCGGGATCTTTGGTTCGACAGACGGACGCTTTTACCGACTGAGCCAACTTGCCAAAAGCTTCAGGCTTTATTTTGTCAAAGATATTCCAGAACTAGTCTTGGTGTTGCAATCGGGTTTTAAGGCAAAAGAATGGGGCATGTATCTATTCAGTCCAGATTCAACCGTCAGGGTAGAGAATGAGAGGCAAGGACGCTGTCTCCGGTTCACTTTGAGGGTCTGTTTTTTTACCATTTTCTTAGCTGATTGGAATTGGGTGAGCAACACAGAACAGTCCCAGCTGTGGAGTCTGGACTATCATCTATTTTTATGGCAAGGACAAAAGTGGGAACTTGGTTGATGAACCTGCTGTGCAATGTACGTTCTATCTTCTAGTTCTATCAAGTTTCCACTTTCCTCCTTGGCCTTGGCCAATTACAAACCCTCAGAATTAGATCTATAAACCCAGTTTCGTTTTTGGGAATATATATGCCTGCCCTATTACTAGTCTTAGACATTTATCGAACATGGCGAACCTTGGGAGTAATGTTCAGAATTACGAATCGAATCCTGCTTATTTTCACAAAAATCTAGCTGTCGAGATCGCGAGATCGAGCGACGCAACTGCCGCCGCTGAGCCGAGCTGAGCTCTGCACACATCGACACAGGGCCAGGCCACGCCAGCGCCATGCCAGCAGGATGCAGCACTAGCACGAAATAAACGGTAATATAAAAATTACAAATAAAGCTATACCTCTACTTTACCAAATCTTTTGTTCGCTACACAACCTGTTTAATACTTACGAAGTACAATCTTTTGAAGAACTTTTTAATTAACTGGAAATCATAGATCTAGAAAGACATGGAAACCTCGCCCTCGGGTACACCGTACTCGGAATCCTCAATCGATGGGTTGTACACGCAAGTACGCTTTCTTATTGGAGGAAAGATATCATGTGACTTAGGGGAATCCCCTTTCAACAACGTGCGCTTCTAGCATGTAAACAAAGACTTTTTTCACAGGGCATTTTATATTTTCCCGCCAAATCTATAACATGTTCAGACATGTTTTATTCATCAAAAATACTCTTTTTCTCCAATCTTATAATCCATGTAATGACTGATCATAAAAGAAAGAACCTGGGAAATTTCTGCATGTGGACCTCGTATTGGAAAAGGTCTACTAGATTCTATATTCCACTAGAGTCAATTCAATTCAATTCATTTTTATTTCATTTGTCATATAAAAACATACTTATAACATTGATATTTACAGATAAGTAAAGAACATACAAATAATATAACGAAATGTAAACATAAAATACAAATATATATAAGAATGAGGAACCAGCTAGCAAGAAAGAACAATTGAGTCTTATGTGGTGCTGGTCCCCGCTTGCGACGTAATACAGAATTTTAACCTGTAACACTTAACACATTACACCTAACACCTAACAACTAACACCTAACATCTAACACCTGATTGCATATATTTATATATTTGTTTTAAACTCCCTGGTTCTAATAGAAAAGGAGATTAATAGAACACAAATCCAATGAAATAGAGGGAAAATGCAAAGGTTTAACATTGATCATCTGGTTTTACTGTATAAGGTCCGGCGGGCCAGATTCTGGGTGTTTTTTTTTCCATATGAGACCTGGATGCCCGCCCCCTCCCAACTCAGTGTTATTAAGGGTACGCGTATACATGTTCCCTCCCTTTAAAAGCACCCCTAAGTCTGGTGTGTAAAGTCAATATACGGGCCAATGTATTACGAGCCGGACTTTGTTACATTAAAAGTACCCCTTTTGGGAACATGAATGCGGTACGTCCCTCCGTTCACGGAGTTGGTGGTGGTGGTGTGGTGGGGGGGGGGGGGGGGGGGGGGGGGGGGGGGCCTGGATGGTATTCACAAACTCGATCTTAATAGGCTAGGCACAGATGTGAACAAACTGCAAACTACACTTGTACATTAAAGTACAATCCAACCTGATAAGTTCACTTGTGTGAAAGCAGAAAAATAAGATAAACAGAATGGCTAAAGTTTCAAATGAATCGGATCAATAAAATAAGAAAGTTATGAATGTTTGAAATATGAGATCACGCATGAAATGTCAGCTTCTAACGTTTGTCAAGTTTTGTTGGGAGGATTGAAGGGTACGTGTGCGTGTGTGTGTGTGTGTGTGTGTGTGCATGGTGATTCTTTGTCCCTGACATAGCATCACCAGATTGAGAGTGGTAACAGCGTGATCAATCTCATCCGTTTTCATAATAATTAAGCAGCTCAGCAAAACGATTGCTCAACATGGTCTAATAGATGACGGGTGGAATTGGACAATTCCCGGAAATGCAATAGGAACAGTATGTTTTTCTAGTGTCTGTAAGTTATCAATCTCAGCCAAAAATTAAAGATAAATTGATATGGCCAATTTACTTCTCGACTTAATGACAATCCGAATGTGTATTTGTCAATTTTGTTTTTCTTTCCAGTCAGTGTTTTGGAAAAACTGGGACTCTCGCAAGTTGAGGGGGGGGGGGGGGGGGGGAGGGGATTTGGAAAATATTATAAAAATATAATTGTACAGTTTCTAGGGTCTAAATTTGCTGCTCTGAGGTGGGACATGATAAGGGACTGATTACTTTTCTAAAATAATGTTATATAGCTTATCCCTATAGATATATTTGACAAGAGAGAGATAATTAACACGAGCTATGAAGGCATCCTCAAATTAAAACATCAGGATGCTGCAATATATGGCAAAAAAGCTCAAACCAAACCTGAGAAAGAGATGGTTTGGAGTAAATTAATAGACGTACGGCTCTAAAACTTGGACTATCAGGAAAAATCAAAGAAAGAACAGAATAAGTAGAAATATTTTGTTCAGAAGTATGCCAAGTATTTCCTCTTTTAGGGGCACATGCCCCCCACCCCCTCATTCAACTGCATATAACTACATGGAGTCACCCAGTCAAATATAAAACGAGTGTTTTTAGGCACAGCAGCAGTGTAAGGCAAACACAGAAAAGAGAATGAAGCAGAGGCAGGAGAGACAGGGGTAAAAGAAAAGGAGAAAATTGTCACTATTACGAGAAAGAAAGGGGCAATGTCTATCTTGAACGTGCCTTGATGGCCATTTAGAATGATTTTGTGTAGTAGGCTCAAGGGAAATTATGTCCCATTTTAATATTAATGACGACGATAATAATAGTACGATAATATAATGTGTCATAGAAATTTAAATAAAATTGTATTACTGATACATGCTATATCAACGATGATGATAATGATTATAAGATTTACTTCTTGTTTTAGAGTATTTACACGATAATCATATGATAATAATGAGGAAAATAATGATAAATGTTTTAATAACGATGACGATAATAATAATAATTAGTAATACTTTTTTCAAATGGTATATGAAGACTGATCAACGCGTAAAAGAAAGCATAAACGTAGATTCATTTCAGTTTATTGTTTCATACTTAACATACATTTATTATTAAGCAATGATTTCACACAGAAAATGATACAAATAACGTTTATTTTACTAACAGAGTCAATTAGACAAGACACTCCCAGAAAGTGAGTACCTCATATCAATCTGTTTGAATGCATTGAAGTAAAAGACTGAACTAAGTGAAATAAGAAGGGGCTTCTGGTGGAAGCTATGCTTGTGCATGGGTTATACCTAGGTCTAAAATGGTAGTTCATTTCATAATGGTCTTTAAAAGTAGAGGAAATGAGCAACTACCTTTCTCAATCAATGTGATAGAATTCGAAAAATTAATCATACAAAAAGAGGCAATGTTAGCATGTTTGTTCTATTTCGTTTACCGGTAATTCACATTATGTAAAACAACACTGATAAGGTTGATTTTAAGTTGCATTATTTCCAGGAAACCCCCCGAGATAAAACGAGTATCATGAAATTGAATGCTATATTGATCATTTTACATGTAATTACATTAATGTATTCAATATTAATTGGGGTTTACAGTCAGTACATATCTCATTAGGACCATTTACATTAATTTGTTGATGATTGGACAGAAGTGTAGATAGGCCTATTGTTTGTTCTAATAGGCTAGTTTGGAATGTTTTAAACAAATGACCCCAAATATCCACAAATCTTTTAAACATGAACAAATTCCCACTTTGTGCATTCTAGAATAATCACTGCCAAAGTGATGGAGATGCTTCATGAATACTTTATGTTTGCCCTTTTGGAAAGAATACTCCCACCCGTGTATCATAGAATTTACTCGCAATGCACAAATGAATAATGGTTAAATACATTTCATAAACATGTACTTGTATCAGGTATTCATCTTGGTGGGTTTTACAGTTTTGTACAAATGGCCTTTACATGCCCACACACAGCAAGGACACACCCTGTATCTAGCACTTCGAGACTTCTTACTAAGCACCGTTTTTATTATTATTATTTATCTCCAAAGTGGTGTAACAAAGCATTGCACACATTACTCCACATGTTTGGGCCACTTTTGTTGTATACAATAAGATATCACTTCAAAAAGACTAGTTGAGCCAATGCGATCCAATGTCCTCCATCAAAATAAATGGGACTGCAGACATTTTTAAAACTGGTCAACAGATAAAAAGCAGTCTTCACAATAGTATGTAGCCAGTTCCAAAGTTTTGATCCAAAGGTTAGAAAAGTAATTTCTCCATCAGGTTTCCTAGTGAGATGTTGAGTTGGTGTACGTAATGCAAAATCTTCCAGACATCAACTAGGCCCTGGTCCAGCAGGAACATCTCTGCGTTTCATGTGGACTCTTGTATTTTCTGAATCAGCGACAACAAAGTTCCCATCGCCCTCAATCACGTAGTGCTTGGTAGGAGTAACTGGCTGCTGGTTAGCAGAACTGCAGTCTGTTATGAAAAAAAGGAAGATAAGGAACACGACTAATACAGTGTACATATGTATGTATTATTAGGTAAGATGAGAAAACTCATGAATAAGAAAGGGGTGGAGTACAGTGAAAAACTTGGTCACACACCCTCCCAGGTGATCCCCAATTTGTTTTGGTTGGTGTTGGCTGTTTTTGATACATTGAATGGGCATACCCTACCCCCCCCCCCCCCCCCCCCCCCCCCCCCCTGGATCTGCCACAAAGTACCTTAAAAACAAAGTTGAGTTCTGGTCATGCGATTGCATTGTGAAAGAAAAGGCATGGAATGGATCAGAAAAAGTTGATCATGTAGCATGTAAGTATTTGTGTGTACTGCAAGGTTCTGGAGTCATCAAAATCACAATAAATTTGGCCCAATCTTGGTAAAGTAACAAGCACTGTACACAGAAAGATGTATATGAGTCTTCACAAATGGTGTTGGGCCTATACTTACCTTGATTTCCTTATCTTTCTATGCCCATTACTCAGCCAGTATACATTTTCTACCAAAATTGTTTGGCAAATGACATTTATTTGTAATCTTGAACATTCAGTGTAAGTTTTCTTTGATTCTGTGAGAATTCATTTTCTTTTTTTTTACCAGAACTCAAGTTTACCTTTACTATGTTAAACAGTAACATAATGTAAAATAGAGATAGATTAAGGATAGATAGTTACCAGAAGAAGCTGATGCTCTTGCTTTTTCCATTTCTTGTATGATGTAAGGATGTCTGTCCCGCAGTGCATCTGAAAAATGCTGAAATGTAGCTGGCCTTTCATTCACCCACTGCAGCACCATCCTGATCTGTCTCTGCAATGAGAATAATTATAGGAGCATGATACTCGAGATTAAATTTTGAACACAGGGATGTAAAGGTCCTAGATCACTTGATTTAAAGAGGTACAATGATTAGTTTGTTTCCCATTTATTGAGTATGGTATGCTTTGTCATGGTCTCCAAAGGACAAAAAGATAGAGGGGCAGAGGTTGCCCTTCTATAGTCCAACCACACAGAGGGTAATATCAGTGTTTCCCCTACAAATGCACCTTCTCCCAAAGCAGCCAAATATCCTAGCTTTAGATGACAGCTTACAGAATATAACTCGAGTTACATCATTTCATGATCAACCAATTAAGCAACATCTATTGTAGATAGTAAAGTCTGCTCGGAGGAGTTTTAATTTTGAACACCTTTTTGAGTTTTGATGCTCTATTGTAGATAGTAAAGTCTGCTCGGAGGAGTTTTAATTTTGAACACCTTTTTGAGTTTTGATGCTCTCCTTTGAGGAAATGTGAGAGAGAGGAATTCAGTGAAACCAGGTGTAGGATTAGTGGAAGACTTTCCCAAATAAAACAGAATGCTATTGATCCCATCTTTGGTCAACATGGGGAGTATTTAAGGGGTCTGCTTGCTATCTATAAGGACCGTCATTTATAAAAGATTCATTTAGTCACTTATTATGTATAGCAGTCCCTATGAATAATGGTCCTTATAAATAGCGGTCCTTATGAATAGCGAGGTTGACCTATATTTAAAAAGGTAACATGTTTTATGGAACATTTTCTGGTACCTTTGGATTCTTCTCCTCTTCTAATGAAGTCAGATCATCCAAGGTGAGTACACTCGTCTCAAAGAGGTAATCCTGCACATCACAAGCATGTACATCTCGTAAAATCAGGTCTTGCACAGACTGCAAACAATACTTCTCTCTGTTATTCATTTCAGAGGCCAGACTCTGTAAAGATTTGAAACAGAGTTTTGAGAAAGAAAGAAAGAAAAAGTTTTTGAAATTATGACAGATTTGAATCGTTAAGAACATCATGTGCTGAGCCAGGAGCCAAGTTAAATACTCTCTATATAGTATAAGGCTTACTTCAAATTATCAGGTCATCAGGTCGAGTCAGGCTTGATGGTCGAGTTATACCTGGCCTTTTGTGAAAACATATGATACCCCTTTTGTTAGAGGTAATGTCTTTTTATTAAACCTCTTCTCAAGTCTCATCTACAAAGGATCTGGTCGAATTTACCTGAATTTCTGAAACTTTGTAAAATCACAAAAAGTTGTGAATTAAACATGACCACCCAACAGATGCGATGACCTGATGATTTGAAGAAAGCCTAAGCAATATGAACTTCTGTGTAACCAACATTACACAGAACTCATAGTTGCAGTTTTACTCTTTATAAAGAGTAAAACCGTGCAGTCTATAAACTTACACCACCACACAATTTATAATTACCTATACACTTGAGGGAGGCCAATACCCAAATGTAGTAGCTACTGGTACTAGTACTACCATTTACAACTTCTTACCACTTACAAAATGTATATGGCCTGGCAATAAATCTAATCAATTCAAATCACCAATCCAACTCAACTCAATTTTCTAACTCAAATCAATCAAATCAAATCATGCACTCACACTATTATTAAGAGACTAACTCAGTTTATTACTCACACAAAAAAGGAAAGGTAATCTGCATCAATCTTGCGATGCTTGATGTACAGATCGACAGACTATATGAATTATGATTATGATGCAGGAAAATTAGCACAAATATTCATAATTGACATGATTGATTGACAAGACATTGTCTACTAAGGAGCCCGAAAAGACAGGTGAATACAGGTGAAAATACAACTATCACAATATTAACAATAATAACAATTACACAATTACCAGCATGATTAGCCTTTACCAAGGCAATTCATTCTCCAAGGTGGTTTTAATATTTTTTTCTAAATAAGTCATACCACAGGTATCTAAGCAAAGGGGAAAGTGTGCGCTTAAAAACGCGTTGTAAGAGACTAAAATCAGCCTCGTAAAAGTTCGTGACCCAGGAAGAGCTCGAAGGTGCTAATTTTTTGTCCCGTACGTCTTTCTAGATTATTCACAGTGAGTTTCAACTTCTGATGCTCCAGAGTCTAGTTTTGAGGCGAAAGCATTGAATAAAATCTAGCAAATTGTCAAATGTATGACGACTTCCTGGTTTTCTTGTGAATTGAACAGTACACGTCTCATACAGGAGGATTACAAGTTGATAGAGAAAGCGGTAAGTAAATCTACTAAGTTATAGCCTAACTTATAGAAGAAACTTGCGGTGACTGAGATTGAGAGTTCGTGGTACTGCTAGTTGAAGTGTCGGGTTCGCGGCGCGAGCTCTCTCTGTTGTTGTCCCTCCGCTTTTCGGAGATCAGCGAGTTTATCGCATTCGAGGTACCGGTAGTCACTGGTAGTATGGTCTAGTAGGCTGCTGAGCTGAGCGCGGCTGGGCAAGGTTGGTGGGCAGTGCAGTGGCATAGGCATAGGCATAGCATTCGTGCAGACGTACTATCGAGCCGACTGTATTTACCTGCACATAGTGACACACATTTACCTAGACCGAATTTTCCGTCTCTTTCGTTCGTTAGCCTCTTATTGGGGTAGGGTCGGCTCTCTCTTTAGAGATGGAAACCGTCTATACACATTCCCTTGATAACTCCACGGCCATTTCAGGTCGTGGTGTTATGCCCCCAAAATCCCCCAAAATCCCCCAAAATCCCCCAAAATGTCATTTTACCTCATGCATTGATTATTTAAAATTAGGAGAAGGTTATACTACATCGGTTCCACTTACCAACTTGACTGAAATAATCCGTTTAATGGTCCCTTTTAAGGAAATTATGGGTCAAAATCGACATCCATGTTGAAAATCTTGCAAGCCGTGTTAAACTCTCGCTGCGCACGGAGTCATCTAAATCAATCTCATCCCTTCTAGTCTACGCCGAAGGCAAAACGATTATGAAGGAAAAACTGTGCGCCATCTACACGTTCGTAATGGCGTTATCACAGTTTTTCCTTCATAATCGTTTTGCCTTCGGCGTAGACTAGAAGGGATGAGATTGATTTAGATGACTCCATGCGCAGCGAGAGTTTAACACGGCTTGCAAGATTTTCAACATGGATGTCGATTTTGACCCATAATTTCCTTAAAAGGGACCATTAAACGGATTATTTCAGTCAAGTTGGTAAGTGGAACCGATGTAGTATAACCTTCTCCTAATTTTAAATAATCAATGCATGAGGTAAAATGACATTTTGGGGGATTTTGGGGGCATAACGCCACGACCTGAAATGGCCGTGGAGTTATCAAGGGAATGTGTATAGACGGTTTCCGTCTCTAAAGAGAGAGCCGACCCTACCCCAATAAGAGGCTAACGAACGAAAGAGACGGAAAATTCGGTCTAACATTTACCAAGCACTCAAAAGTCGGCGCTAGTTCAGAAGTCTAGCCAAAATTTGACCTGTAGATCTAACTCCGGCTTGGAGATAGCTAGATCTAGACCGAATGTTTCTGTCTCTTTCGTTCGTTAGCCTCTGATTTGGGTAGGGCCTAGGGTCGGCTCTCAGTCTAAAGAGAGAGCCGACCCTACCCAAATCGGAGGCTAATGAACGAAAGAGACAGAAAAATTCGGTCTTTTAGTAGGGGACCCTACTAAAACATACCCAAAAGGAAGTAAATATTCATCAAATGTCCAATTAATGGTCGTGATTTAAAAGTCGGTAGGTAGTTTGTTGCCTGTTTCGTGTCAATTTTCTTATCTTTTTTGGAGTATTTAAAAAAAAAATTTTAAACAGATGTAAAAACTAAGTGGGAGATTTGGTCTTCAAAAAAAATTCCACCCTCCACTCATAACATGCATGCCTACAGTATATACAAGCTCATTTAGTAATCAAGGATTGAAACAGTAGAAACGGTTGTGCTGACTATTGTTCGGTAAAACTCTGTTTACCATTTAAATTAATGACAGGAGTAGCCAAGTAGGCGAACAAACAACAAAATAACACGTCGTTCATAAAGTTAAAGTTCTGAATATTTATTATACAAATATGTCGGATCGTACAGAGCAGCAAGAATAGTGATGTTCACGGTCGAGAATTGTGAGGAGAAAATGTGCAGATGAGAATTGTAAGAGAGATAAAATGTCGATGGAGAATAGTAAGGACCGAGAGGCATTCATCGAATCTGATCATGAGACCAAAAGGCTAGACAGCATGTTTAGATTTATGACCCAGATTTCAAATTGCTAAGAATAGTATCAGCAACACAATAAAAGTGAAAAAATTGAATAAATATATTCAGTACGGACGGCACATGTGAAAACGCGTGCGCAAATTTAAATGTTCAAAAAGGTCTGAAACATGTAGTAAATTGGTCAAATACATGTATATAAGCATTTTGATCAATTTAAACAAATTGACGCACGCGTACGCGTCCTCCATGATGCGTGCACTATTTTGTAGGCGGATTAAAAGTTTAACCCTTGATGTCAAGTTTATGCATATATCAAATATCATTCAGAAATTACAATTTATGACAGAAATATGGTCAATAAGGCCATTAAAAAAAATATACATGTTAAGCGTCCCCACCTGCTTCCTTTGGGGGGGCCGCCTCCTATTTTTTTTTTGAAATTTTTTTTTTTGAAATTTTTTTAATTTTGAATTTTTTTGAAATTTTCTTTTTTAATTTTAAAAAAAGAACATGAAAAACACTGCTAAAATGGATCCATTTCTGATTTAAATTTTTTTTTTTTTTTTTAAGTCGGTGGCCATCTTGAAAAATAGCCCAAATGTCAGGGAAAATGTACCGAGCGGCTATTTTAGGCGGCCATTTTGAAAGAAAAAAGAAAAGGGCCTCCTCCTTCCTATTTTTTTGAAAAAACAGGAAGTTAAACATGTTTTGTTTTTTTAGTTGGCCTAATAGAAATTAACAAAATGGTGCATACTTGGTACTTGGTTGTTGTTCCTCCAAAAGATTCCTGGTGGAATTTAAACTGGAGGTCGTGGTGGCAGAGAGTGGACTTATTTCGGAAGGAGTGCTACTTTAAACTTTGCTGAGTCAGTCAGGGATACTAAGGTCGGATTGAGATTATTCCACGCTCCGGTTGTGCGAGGAAAAAATGAGTTCTTGTATACATCCAATCTGGCTAATGGTATTTCAAACTGACTTGAGTGCCCGCGTCTGCTACGATCTGGTTTAGGTTTAATGTGGGTTCGGGGATCTATGTCCAGCTGGCCATGTAACATTTTGTGGAAACAGCTTAGACGGTGAGCTTCGCGTCTGTCTTGGAGGGAGTTCCACTTAAGAGAATTTAGAAGGTGGGTGACGCTTGCTTCTCTCTGATAAGTGCTTGTGACAAAACGGGCTGCCTGCCTCTGGACTCGTTCGATAGAAGAAATGTTCTTAGCTGTGTATGGGTCCCAAGCAGCAACTGCATAATCTAAGTGTGGCCTAATGAGGGTGAGATAGAGTTTCTCCTTAATGGAAGTTGAGCAGTGATGAAAGTTGCGTCTCAGAAAACTCAAAACCCCAATAGCTTTTGTTGTTGCGAGGTGAGTTTGGCCATTCCATCGGAGGTCGTTCTGGATCACAACACCAAGGTACTTTGTCTGCTTACATTCTTCCAGGGTGACACCAAGGAGGTTGTATGAAGATTTACCCGGTTTCTTCTTCCTGGTGACACGCATTGATTCACACTTTTTGGGGTTGAATTTCATGCCCCATTTCTGAGACCACTCCACCATTGCATCAAGGTCTTTTTGCAGGATGTCCACGTCGTTCACTGATTTCACTGGACGGTACAGCATGCAATCGTCTGCAAATAGCTTGGTGGTGCTTTTGACTTTGTCGTGAATGTCATTTATGAAGAGCAAGAACAAGTGGGGACCGAGCACAGTGCCTTGCGGGGTTCCACTTAGAACTGGCTTCCAGTCGGAATGTTTTCCGTTTACACATACGCGTTGAAGTCGTTTTGTAAGGAAATTTGTCACCCATCTTAAGTTATCTGAACGGATTCCATAATAATCTAGCTTGTGAAGTAACTTCTGGTGGGGGATGACATCAAAGGCTTTAGAAAAGTCAAGTGTTATCAAATCTGTGGTGGCTTTTTCATCTAGGTTCTTAGCCAGGTCGTTTATCGTCAAAATAAGTTGAGATTCACATGATCTGTGTCTCCTAAATGCGTGTTGATTTTCTGCCAGAATATCGAGTTCGCTAAGGTGGCTCATGAGGTTACTATCAATAATATTTTCCAATAGTTTACAACAGTAAGAAAAAAAATCTCTTCGTTAAGATCAATAATCATGCATATATATGGCATGGAAATTGCTTTGTCATTAACCATGTCATTCATGAGATATGAAGTGACTAAAGTCCATATAGAAAGAAAGGGACAAAAAAGATAGATTTTGACGAAATCAATAGGTGCTCTGCTACGCTATGCGACAGATCACCTAATGAAATAACTTTAGAGCTTTTGTTTGGAGTCTGCTTGACTTGCATGCTTGATTATTAAACCAGGCATGCAGTCAGGTGTAGATTGATTTTTACCTCTTATTGCTTTAGCTCTACTTGATTGCAATGTGATTCAAATGTTTCGTAATCATGCTCTAATGTAATATGTAATCATGTCAGAAGAAAGGAAAAAAAGTGGGCCTCGTGTAAAGGCAGATAGACTTGGGACTGTAGAGATGTGATGTACAATGTACCTGTAGGGAGTGGCAAGAGTGCCAAAAGTCATTAAAGAGTGGTAATAGATAGACTGCCTGTAGATATCATGTTATTTTTTTAAATATTAATTATGTTATTAATTTCAGTGAATGATAATGATTTAGACTATTACTAGACCCCAAACTTAAAATTCACAAAAAAGTTGTACTGCTTCAGCATGGCCCAGCAAAGCCGATGAAAAGTCCGTCTTTCTTCTTTTTATGTGACAGCTTCACAGCTATAGTGTTCATGAAAGTGTTTATAACTTTATGTGAAGCAGGTGGCTCAATGAAATCAATTGTATTAAAATACTCTTGAAAACATATTGACACAGACTGAACAATTTTGTTCAGGGATGCGTTCCACTGACACTGCGTCTCGCTTTAATATAAATTATCTGGAGCTATAAATCAGACAGATTTTGTTGATATATTATTGACATTACCCAAATTATTTTTGATTGATTAGTTACTTAATCCTCATGCTTAATACATCTTATATTTGTTAAAATTATGAAACAGACAATATCAGCCTTGAGCTACACTGTACGTGTACATGTCATGTTGATTTTTATAAACCCAATTCATTGCAGTTTAATATTGTTTCAATTATAGTTAATGGACAAAGCAGAGCATGTCTTTTTAAATTTGGTTTAAAAAATGAAGAAGAATGATTTTTGTGTAGCAACATTTTCCTTTGTTGTTACATTTACATATTTGTTTCTTCCAAACAGGAAAGGAAAAAAAAGTAGTAGAAAATGGGCAAGAGAACTGTGGTGAACGCCAACGTGACAGACATTGAGAAAAGGAGAGAACCAACAAAACATTATGTAAGTAGAGTTATTCATTGATCAGCAGTCTACTAGGGAGAGAAACCTTTCAGTGAGAATCCTTCAAACCTACACAAGCCACAGAACTGGTGCATGGCTTTTCAAGGCAGAAAACCCTTTTAGAGACACCATAGAAAGGGACCTTGTATTCTAGTATGAATGAATCTACAGTTATTCTACTTTATATTTCAAATGACTTGCATTGATTAATATTTCATAGGAATACATGTACTTGAGTCAGTACTACTAAACTAGTAGGCTTGTCATTCGTTTGAATAGAGTTTCTTGTCAAAATTGTTGAACATTCGTAGGTAATAAATTAAGATTTAGAAGAGTGAGAATAAATAGTGGAAAATGAAGCTACACTGCACACCAAAACAGTGAAAATGAAAGGGATACATTTGTCTGAATTTTAGATTGTACATTTACTTATTGTTTCTGCTTATTACAGGTCTACATCATTCATGTGACTTGGTCAGATGGGTCTGTTAATGTGGTCTACAGGAGGTACAGCACTTTCTTTGACTTTCAGGTAAGTCAAATTTCCTGCATTTTGCTCTCAAATCAGTGTTTGTAAGGCCCTCAAATTTTGATTGTATGACACATGCTTACTGACATAGGCAACCAATTGCTAGCTAGAAGTCAATTCAATTGCTACTTGAACAAATTTCCAAAGCTATTATACAAGCTTCCAAATTTCATATTACTTCTTTAGTATTGATAGTGAGATACACTGTACGCATAATATTTACTGGTAGATTGAAATAAATATGAAGTATGTAAATAAGCAAATTATTATGCAGTCCAAAATAGAATTCCAAAAGCTTAGTACAACAAGCTTTTGGAATTCAATTTGATTTGAAGTTCATGGGTGGTATTCTCATAAGTTAAGCTGGGACTAAGTCCAGATTAAACAACAATTTTAGCTCACACTATGGAATGCTAGGCTTCATCTTCCTCCTTCAATATTCATGACAAAGATAATCTATCAAAGACTTAATTGAAATTTAGTTCATACTCATATTATCTTTTTCTTCCCATTTCATTGCAAAATTAATTTTTTGGACACTTTTCATTGCAGGATTAAAATAATCTGTACAATGTAAATGAGTTGGCAACAGGTGCTCCATAAAAGTGTGTACTACATGTAAGTTAAGCCAGGCTTAACTTAGCATCCACTATCAGAATACCACCCCATAACTTCATAGTCTTAGCAGCATTTATTTTATAGAAATAAGATGTAAAAAGGGGAAAGAAAAGGATCATGGTGTTTTTCTCCAGAGTATTCATAAATGAAGATCTTGTGTATATCATTGTGTATTTACGACACATACATTAATGTCTTTAAAAGGTAACTAAAATTGATTTGTGTTGTCCTTGTACTGATGTGTTTCTCATACATTATATAAATATATTGGGAAGTGAGACCAGTCTAGATATGCACCCATGCTTTGCTTATTAATTGTTTTTATCACTTTCAAGTTTCAATTTGAAAACTTGAAATTACCTGTGATGACAATAGAGATGAGAGGATTCTGCAACAATATTTTCAGAAACTAAAACTCATCTCAATAAACACAACAAACATAACTCATGTTCTTTAGCACAGAGTTAAAGCTAATGTGCAATATTTTTACTGGGACTTTTTGAAGTTGCGTTGTTACTCATCTACTGCTCAAAGGAAAAATATGTTATCACACTTTTATGCTAACCTAGGGGTTTGTGATTATATTCATAGCAGAGTGAAAACTAATTTTGTTGATATTCCAACTCTGGTTATTATACCAACGAGGGTAAAACAATCAATTATCTAACTGGTTACAGTTTACTTAATATATTTTCTAAAGACTACATCATTAATTGCCTTCTCGCTAGAGGAAATTCATGCATGTTGGGACTTATTGCTGCCACTCCTAGGGGTAGAGAAAGGGCAGAAGAGGGATTCCCCTTCCCGTGAAAAGTGGAAGGTTCAGAAATAAGAAATAACACCCTAAATCAGTTCAATCTGTATTTACATGTATCTGTGGGTTAGCGTGTATTGGAAATAAATCTTTAAAATTATAGTACTGACTATTGAAATGAGAGGAGAATCCTGTTTGTTTGAAACACACAGTAAACCTCATAAGGCAAAATTAAAACAAATTATGTTTAACGTCCCTGCATGCTTCCTTTTTTGAGGACGCCTTTAACAAAAATAAAAAATATAATAAAACATAAAAAAGCTGGCGGCCATCTTGAAAAATAGCCCAGCCGGCCGGAGATCCTGGAAAATGTGCCGAGAGGCCATTTTGGAGGAAGAATGCTAAACATGTTTTTTTTTTTAATTTGGCCTGATTTATGTGGTTTTAAATCTATTGTAAGAGTTCAATCTGGAGAGAAAGAGTAAAAAAAGAATTAAAATTAAAAAAATTAGGTCTTTAAAAAAAAAAATCCTTTTTGGGGGCCGCCTCCTTTTATTAAATAAATTTTTTATAATTTCTTTTTTTTTAAAGAAAAAAACATGAAGAAAAAAACGCTAAAATGATCTATTTCTGAGTGGCCATTTCGAAGAAGAGAGAAAATTTTGGGTTATGTTAGGAGGTATTTCTCTTCAGTGTTTAAGCTTTCAAGCAACAGGATGAAAACACTGAGAAAGGAAGGAACTGTTTGTCTCTTTGGAAATACCAAAGATTGAATTATTCATTGTACATACTGTACTAACAGTAATACTTTTACACACGTATAGGAAGTTAAACCTAAAAGTGGTTTGCAGAACTTTCATTACCAAACTATTTGAGGAAAACAGTAATTGAAACCTAGAATCTTTGTTTCATTTTGATTTCTTCTCAGAACAAACTTTTGTCTAAGTTTCCAGAGGAAGCTGGTGCAAACAACCCATCTTCAAGATGCATACCCTTCCTCCCAGGTAAGCTTTCATCCCATTCAATACAACTTATCTTGTTGTTGTTTTTGTTGTTGTTTGATTTAGGCAAGTCATTCATTTTATGACCATTTATATTGCAGAATACTATAACAAATTTGTTTTGAATTCAAATTTATGTATAAACACCCACATAATTTCTTCTTCTTCTTTAACCCCCCCCCCCAAAAAAAAAACAAAGGGGGGGGGGGGGGGAGATAATACATATACATATATTCTTTTATTACTGCATTATCAAGATGTGTGACTTCTGATTCAGTCAAAACTGCAGGCAGGCATGAAATGCACTAGTTACTGACTATTGGACAATGTAGTGAAAAATTTGCATAGTTCTATTTGCATAGTATTTGCAGTCAATATTTGTATACTAACACACAAGTGTTTTTGTTAAGTACACTATACATGAACTGTACCGGTACATGTCAGGCCTGATAATTACCTGATTTAAATCGGTTTTCCATTAAAAAAAAAAAAAAAATCCTGATTTTTCCATAATTTCTCAATTCAAATTCAAATTTATTCATGTTTCCAACAAAACATTACAAATCAATTATAAGCATTTAAAACAAATTTAAGAAATACATGTTGGAAACAGAGGGGTCCACTAAAAAGCAATGCTTGTACAAGTGTGAACACCTCAAATGAAACTTAGGAATAATGAGTAATTCTTGTTTTTCCCAATTTTTTTCCCAATTTTCTTACTCAAAACGGGGGAATGTTGAGGGAATAAAGAAAAAAAAATTAGCAACATTATTAGGGATGCCATTTTTCAGGCAATAGCCTGAATTCAGGCCCTGGCAAGTTATTTTCAATACATAGTTCAGGCTTTTTTTGTGTACAGAATAGCTCATTCTAGGTGGTTTTAGGCTCTCTGATCAATTCTAACTGGCATCCAGTTCTGTGTAAAGCATGTTGTTGTATGCTACTTATTGTAGGAAATGATAAAATAGTCAGCATAGAAGCAGACATGGAATTTCTTGATTGATAACCAGTTTAAATACACTACTTAAAATTTCCGGACATACAAAAATGCAAGTTTATTTGAATAAAAAGCTCTAAATTGCTAGTTAAAGGTAAAGACCAGTTATGGTCATGCGATTGCATTGTGAAAGAAACATTGTGGAATCGATCAGAAAAGGTTGATCATCTAGCATCTAGCATCTGCAAGGTTCTGGAATCATCAAAATGATAAGAAATTTGGCCCATTCTTCGTAAAGTTACAAGCACTATACACAGAAAGATGTATATGGGACTACCCTATATCTCTCACAGACCATGAGAGAAACAAATTTACCAAATATATGAATTAGTAGGCGGTTTCCCGGCAAATTTTTTATCATCATGTATTAGTCAAAACATATTCTTTCACATGATTGTTAATGAGAGCTTCCATTTCATTTTTTTGAAATTGGGGCGTTTCCAATACTGGTCTTTACCTTTAATTGCTACAGCCATTGAAATTAATTCAATTTCCAATTGTGTTTCCATGTTCATTATTAGTCTGTTTTATCATTTCATGTTGGAAATTTATCTTGTCGGACTTTAAACAACCGTAATATATATCTACAGTAGTGTGCTTTTCGTATAATTGATGTGTCTTGTACATGTGTCTTTGTTTGATTATCTTGTTCTGTCTGTACCTAATTTATATTTCTAGTGTCAACAGAGTAGGGTTTTTTCCCATTTGAGAGTACGGTATGAGTTTCTTAAAATCCAATTATAAAGTATGTTTCCTTACAAAAGAGAGGAACAAATAAAAGAAAAAGGGGATGTATGTTTCGTGACAATATCGGGTGCTTGTTTAGCGCTCATATCTGTCATTATACTTGGTACTCCTGGCGCTCCGCAATTGTTACCCCGGCTTTAGCATGGCAGCCATTATGGCGCTCTAACATTTCAAGGAACCAATTCCTGCCAGGTACCCATGTACATCACCTAGCTGATGTTTGAAAGTAATCTCCCTTTCCCATGTATACATGTAGAGGTGTGGAGGAATGTCAATTGTCATACTTATACAGATTTATTTTTTTCCTACCTATTTTCCTTCATCATCTTTTTTTTTGGGTGTGTCCAAAGAAATGTATACCGTTGTTTTCACAGACATGTATAAATTTCCATTATTGAATGTCTGATAACAGGTATTATTGGATCAAAATACATCATAAATCATGACATCATTTGTCATTTTTTAAGCGTACACTGTCTAGAAACGAAACAAACACCTTTTGAGTTATACAGTACAAAAGACCAAAATCATATTACCGTAATTAACGGTGTATAAACCGCCCTCGTGTATGTGTATGTGTATGTTAACACTCATCTGTCGGCACAAGCCAGGTCCGTGTTAAAAAAAACCCACGTGGGAAGGCCTTTCATTTAACTGCGAGGTGCAGCTGAATGTGTAAGATCATTAATGTAAATTAAAAAACAGTAGAGGTCCTAGGATAAAACCTTGTGGTACGCCGTGTAACAGAAGAAAAATTGGAGGAATTATTATTATAATCTACATATTGAGATCTATCAGAAAGATAACTTTCAAACCAAGATGACAGACAAATTTGGGTGTTGTTCTAGTTTTTGAGAGGTGAGTCAACACACCGATTACTGAGCTAGAAGACATTGCCAGGCAAAGCGCCAGGTGGAGGGGCATAAATCAAAACTTGAATTTTTTTTTTTTGGTTTTTTTTTGTGTGTACCGTGTATAAGACGCACCCCCGACATTAAAAAATTATCGGCGGCAAAAAAGTGCTGTTTATACACCGTTAATTACGGTACCCAAATGTTGCATGTGGAAACCAGATGGGCCGTATGTTAAAGCTATGTGAATGAGAGAATTCAGAAGTGAATAAATGGCTTAAGTTGTTCATTGTAAAACTCCCTGTAAAACTCTAGATCATGTATTTTTTATTCCTTTATATGAAAATATGGATGAAGAATGCTGTTATTATTAAATATGATTGATATATATTTTATATCAGGTTCACCCCGATGGTCTCTAGGTAATGTGTGCCTGAATAAATACTAGCTATCTTGTACATAAGTATGCCTGCTACAGCTCACTGTATCATAAAAGTGGTTCCCCCGACATTTGTTCCTGCGATAGTTGCTTGAGGCTAGGGTTAGGGTTAGGGTTAGGGTTTCGGATGTTAGAGATTCAACTTGGTTTAGGCTAGATTTAGGGTTAGGGTTAGGAATTGTGCTTGGTCCAGGGTTATAAAGTAGAAATCGGTTACTGAAGGAAAATGGTGTCAAGCAATTGTCACAGGAACAAGTGTTATACATGTACACTCGTACCTGCTGCAGCTTAAAGCTAATCTTAAACTCTTGTATGGGAATCGTATGTCGAGAGGACATGGCTATAATTCATTCTGGATTGTTTGAACCTGTAAAATAAAAACAACCTCACAAAACCTTGCGATAAATCATCTTCAATAAAAACTCTGTTAAACACATGGTGTCGGGCCTACCTTGATTTCCTTATCTTTCTATGCTCATTACTAAGCCCCTATACATTTTCTACCAAAATCTTTAGGCACAATTTATTTATTATTAATCTTAAGTATTCAGTGTAAGTTTTGTTGGATTCTGTGAGAATTCAGTTTCTATCATTACCAGAACTCAAGCTCATCGTTAAACGTGTATCATATTAATCTTGTGGTTTGGGGGGCCTTAAGATGTATGAATTTTTTGTCTGTCTAATTTCTAGCCTTTCTGAAATGAATTCAATTGCATTGTCATTGTGTTTGCATAATACTGCATGTTTATTCAGGGCTGTCAACCCTCCCGCATTTGGAGGGAGTCTCACACCACCACGCTCATTCTCCCGCCGCCCCATCAAAAGCTCGTAGCAAGAGACTCCCGCCACCATGCCTTCCTCCCGCTCTCCCGCCAACGATGTAGAATCTCCCAGTTTATGAAAAAACAAATATGTGCTCTTACCCCCCCCCCCCCCCTCCCCTTCCGCTTTAATATTCAGTGGCTGGCTGAGTGGTTGCAAAATTTTCCTCAAAAACTGGCTGAGTCGTTGCGAAATTCTTCTCCAAAAATAATCTCCCTTCAAGCAGTTTCCCAAAGTTGACAGCCCTGTGTGTTGTGGACATGTAGTATGGTTACAATGGCTTCATGGTCCCTAATTCACTACTGAAGATTTTCCTGTTGCTCAAATTAATGCATTGCGTCATGTTGCAAAGTGAGGGAATATGTATTTTTTTTTATCAATCACTGTGTACATGTAATACCTTATTATGGTCTTACAGCAAACATAATGAAAACTGAAAATTAATTTATGTCAAATTTATAATTATCAAGTACTGTCAGAGCTGGGGAACAAGGAAAGAAAGGTAAAATTGAGCTACTGTATCTATCGCACATATCCCAACTTATTGCAAAAAGATGTGCACAATTTTCAGAAAGTATGATTCTCAATCAAATTTGATTAGTTTATTAAATAATTCGCTTGGCCAAGACTTCATCTCCTGAAAAAGACTGTACATGATAAATGTTTTATCTTGGAAATTCATGCAGTTACATATTCCTGAAATTTTGAAATTGTTTAATGAAATTTTGAAGGTTTCTTGGTACTGTGTCGCATACATGCTTGTATAAATATATTTCATGACCAGAGGTATAGTACATGTTAAAGTGACAAAATTAAGGATGAAATGCTGATACATCATGACTAAGCTCAAGGTCCACTAAGTTTCTTAGAAGAGAGGAAATTTCAAACGTGAACGAGCCGATCTGGCGCATATCACTATCTTGGCACTCTGTCAGCGAAAGATCTACCTACCCAATTCATACTGTATGACCTGAGAGTGGCCAGTTTATGGACTTTAATCTACATATACAGTAGGTTGGAAATCAAGGATAAATCAACCAATTATAGTTAGTTATTGTCCATTATGATGTAAATGTAACCAACACATGAAAACAAGGCAATTTCCCAATTTTCCAATTTTTCTGGTTTAATTTTTTTTGGATATGCAAAGGTGAAGGGATGTTTGTATATATTGCTTTTCTGTAGCAAATATGTACAATGTACATTATTTACAATGACATTGATTGGGTTCAACTTGACATTATAAATGCTTATAATGTGAATGGGTACTCATCTGCAAATTTGTTTTCCCCTTGCTACACATTGGCCTGTTTCACATGGTTAACTTAACCTGGCGTAAGAGTTAAAACATAATCTGATCAGCTGAATCAGAGAGAACATGTACATGTATCTTAAATCTGCAGAGACAATTGTAAGTAAATACCACATGTGGATTTTACTGGATATATAGGATGCATATTCTTGTATAATGATGGGAAAAGCAAACATGCCGGTGCAGATAAAGAGGAAAAGTTCTTTTTTTCATTGTCACTGCTGACTTACCCTATATAGATGAGAATCTATGATTGAAAGGTCATAAGATGACTTTCATACCCTCTTGATGTTTATTTCTGACAGGATGAGAGGTTACCATAGAAACCGGACCACATGGGAACCCAAAGTGCTGATTAATGAGAGAATTTTGTATACTCCATTTTCTACTGGATCTTTTTGTTTTCATTCTCATTTTCATTCTCATTTTTACTTTGCATGCTCTGAATTGATCTCCATAAATATGTACAAATCATTTTGAAAATGAATGTGCAAAAGTGATAGGAATGATATTTACATCAAGTTAATATATTGTTCCTTTCATCATTGTAATCTTTGTTTTTATGCCACTTATTAACGTCAATTATGTATATCCATTATTGGAACCAGGCACTCTTGAAGACTGTATTCTGTTTTATTCAAGCACTCATCTTACTCTTTCTTGTTCAGAATTACAATTAGTTTCTATCTTCTTGACCAGAAACTATTAGTCTAAGTGCACATCTTACCCCTGCTCATTAAGAACTACGATCGGTTTCTATCCTTTTAATTCATTTTCTTTTATTGAGACAGAAACTAGTCGACATAAGTTTTTGTTGAAGTACATATATTTCTTAAGCCAATTTATTCAACCATTAAAGTTACTAACTTAATGCGATAATATGCCCATGCTCTAATATCAATATTCATTACCTGTAAACTAATTTGAACATGTTTCCTCCTTCAAACAATAACTTTGGGAAGATTCTGTTAGAGTTTACCTTGTTGATCTTTAACATTTTGTTGTAAGGTTATATTCTTTATGCTTCTTTATGTCTTAATTTGATATTTCTGATTGTATTTAGTTGATTGATATGATCATTTTATAGGCAAGAAGCTGTTTGGAAGAAGTCATATACGGGAAGTTGCTCTGAAGAGACTCTCCCCAATAGATGAATACTGCACAGTAAGTTTTTTTTGGTATAAATCCCTTTTCTACCATCAAGTTTGTTAAAAGTACAATATTATGTTCATTTTTGTGATCCATGGTAACTAAGGTAAGGCAAAAACTTTCCCAAAACAGGCATCAATTCTACAAAAACAACAAAATAAACTGGTTTTACAAATCTAAGGAAAAAAAGAAATCAAACAACACAAACACACAAAAAATAAGAAAACAACAACAACCACAAAACAAGCAAGCCACATTTTAGTGAAGCATTTTCCCCATATTAAATCGCTGTATGGAGAATCACTTTGCTTAAATGTCTTTTAGGAAATTAGCCACATGAGAATTGTCAGGTAGTCTGTTTAGAGAGCAATATTGTGCTAATTCTTTAACATGAATGTTTCGAGTAGTTTCCTGTACCTATGTTCATGCACTTTGTGCACACTGCAGGAAACCATACGTACATGTAGATGTAGACTGAATATTCATCCTCTGAATGTACCCTGAAGAAACAGTCTTGTCTTTGATGAATCACAATGTGTTATGTAATCAGACTGGATATAATTATGCCCTCTCTACACGTTACCTTGCATTCATTCAAATTAAACTTCCTGGTTGAGCCAGTGCTGTTAAACGTGTGAGAGAGATTGAACTGACTTTGTGTTGAGGGGGGTAGAGAGAGAGAGAGAGAGAGATGGGAGAGAGAGAGAGAGAGAGAGAGGGAGAGAGAGAGAGAGAGAGAGAGAGAGAGATAGAAAAAGAGAGAGACAGGGGAGAGAGAGAGAGAGAAAGAGGAAAAGAGGGGGATGGGGATAGAAAGATAGATAATAGAGAGACTGGTGGTTAATAGGAAGGGGAAGAAATACAAAGTGAAGAGGCTGAGAAAAACTGATAGACTGAAATTGTACAAAAACAAATACATATTTCATTAGTACTAGTGGGCATTCATTTGTTTGTGAATGAATTCGGAATATTAAAAATCAAAAGATCCCATTGCCCTTTATTTACTGTGTAGTTACTAAATTGTGATCTTTTAGTTTTAGTTGGTGGTTTAATTTATACCCCTTTATTTGTATATTTGAGGTTCATGCACAGTTCACCATGAATACTTAGAATGTCAATAGTTCTAAGTTTTGATTATTATTATTAAGTACATCCTGATGTCTGGATGTCTCATGTCCCTTTATTTGTTTTGAATGTTTACATATTGCTAATATTTGTTTGTTTGTTATTCAGGCGTTGGTAAAGCTACCGGGAAAGATATCCGACAGTAAGGAAGTCATCAATTTCTTCACACCTACGCCTGAGGATGTAAGCCCGCCCTCGCCAGAGTGAGTTTACAAATCATTATGATGATTAATATCAAGAAAACTGAGGAACATTAACATACCTGCCAACACTTCGGAATAATCCGTTTTTGGGGATTCCTAGGACCTGAAAATCAGGAATATTCTGAATTTTCAACATTTCAATTTTTTTGTTTTAAATAATTTTTTGTAATTTAAAAAAAAAAAAAAAAATTATTTATTTATTTTGTGCTAAAGCCAAGTTAAGCTTGTTTTATAATGTGCTGCGATTTGAGAGGTCATGTATTGTGTGCATTGAATGGCTGCATGATCGCGAAGCGAATTTTTATTCGCTTTTTGGTACAGATTTACCGCGTATTGCCAGTTACACTGCCGCTGCAAGTGCGATTTCTTATTTTCGAAGACATACCGTGCTAAAAATTCTTAATTCTTATTTTCAAATGTTGGCTGGTATGCATTAAGGTACTTGCAGATTTAAGGGGGAGACAGGGATTATGTCTCCTTCCTTTTAAACACAAGTGTCATACCTTATTAAATTATTGTTATTATGAAAACAATTATTTGCCTAGTGTCATACCTTATTAAATTAGAATTATTATTAAAACAATTATTTGTCTACACCCCCACAATGAATTTCTTTACACCTATGCTAGAGGATGTTAGCCCGTCCTTGGCAGAGTGACTTATACCTATACAAGTACACATCATTCAAATGATTGTTTCATATTAAAAGAAATATTAAGACAAGCATTTGTAATTTTGGTAATAATTTAAAAGATTGTAGAAATCCTGTTTACTTTGGATGTTCAAAAGGTTTGACATAAATATGAAGACAAAGAGCATATTTTTAATGTCTTTGAATGGTTATTTAGAAATGAACATTTACAGCGCAAGGTAACCATCTCTCTCAATATGCACTTCATTGCAAAAAAGAAGTATTTTCAAGATGAAAAATGAAATGCAACATGTATTTATATATGATACAGGAAATAGACAAGTTAAGTTGAATGTACTGAAGGAAGAGGCTTTGAGGAAGTTCTTACATGATATGCTAATTTTAAGGGCTTTAGTATTCACAAAACAATGACATTCATGAATAATACAGTCAGGGTAATGGATAATTCAATATACCGTATTGATAAAATTCCCTGCTATTCCAGGGTAGTATATATATAGTATTCCTATTCAATTTAGAATTACTGTGAACAATTTACATTTGGGTTTGACAGTAAAACTCCTCTTGTACATATACCTGTCGTGTGCCATTAACAATTGGTTATGGATCACTGAATTGTTGAACTTTATACAGTAGGTCATTTAATTCATTTAACTAGAAAATACCCCAGATACCAGTAATGTAAAAACAATGTAAATAAAACTTTGAATCTCTCGTTTATACTTTTTTTAAATCTAGTGGTGGAGGAGAGTCAACAAGAGGAAGAGGTAAGATATTTCAATTTTTTTGAATTTTCCTGATTTAAAGGTAAAGACCAGTTTTGGAAACGCCCCCCTCTTAAAAAATGAAATGGAAGCTCTTATTACCAATCATGTGAAAGAATATGTTTTGACTAATATGTGATCGTGATGATACATATTTTGCCGGGAGACCGCCTACTAATTCATATATTTGGTAAATTATTATATCTATATCTGGACTGGATAGGTATAGGATAGTCCCATATACATCTTTCTGTGTACAGTGCTTGTAACTTTACCATGACTGGGCCAAATTTCTTATCATTTTGATGATTCCAGAACCTTGCAGTACACACCAATACTTATATGCTAGATGATCAAACTTTTGTGATCGATTCCACAACGTTTCTTTCACAATGCAATCGCATGACCAGAACTGGCCTATACCTTTAAATATAATTTTCCTTTGTGATATGAATGTTGTTTTTTACTCTACCTGTATGTTAAGTACATTAATATAGGATTTATTTTTATAAACTTTGGAAGTAGTCTATTGCAATAAAGATTTATCAGGGTCTCTCTTTGTAGCTTTTTAGAAGACTAGATATTTATACTTTGGGTTGATATTGTTAGTGGAGAGGCGTCATGGTATAATCACAGTGGTTTGTCAACTTCACTTTCAGTCATAAGGTTATGGGTTCAAATCCCAGCTCAGCACCAACATCCTATGGCAAGGCATTAAATTGCATTTGCCACTCTCCACCTTCATGTAGGTGCACATGCGTATGCCTTATTTGCTTATACAGTGAAACCTGTTTATAAAGACCACCCATGGTTGAAAAAAAAGTGATCGCTATGAGTAGAGCAGGTGGTCTTTATGTACAGGTACATTTAGTACTTGTTTCTATGAAAAACGATTGTCAAGGTGGAACATATCATTTTTATTAGACAGTAGTCTTTCTAAACAGGTGGTCGCTAAATCAAGTTTCACTGTATATCTTTATTTACTTGTAACTTTAGAAGCTGTGCTTTGTCTGTAATAACTATAATTGTGTTGAAATGCCATGAGCATCACAGCAAGACATCACAGATATGAACACTGAATAGGAGGCCATTTTTGTGGTGGTGGTGGTGGTGGTGGTGGTGGTGGTGGTGGTGGTGCTTGTGGTTGTTTTAGTTGTTGCGCAATGTTGTTATTGTTATGGTAATGCTGTTATGATGATGATGATGACCATGATGATTGTGATATATTAATAATAAATGATAATACATTACATTTATAATGCGCTTCATACAATGTTTCTAAGCACAAGAGAAAGAAGAAAGGATAAGGAAGGAAAAGTGAGAAATAATAAAGAAACATGTTAAAAACATTGAATTACAAGTAAACTGCAAAAAAGAATGTGACATTACACAAAATAAGGACTGCATCGAAATTGATTGAAATATTACCATTTCCTTTCCATTCAGCCGACATTGGAAACATCTCCGAGCCCATTCAAGCAGAGCAGTATATAGTGGTAGCAGACTACAAGAAACAACAGAAGAATGAAGTGGAATTGACAGCAGGAGATCTGGTAGAAGTCTTTGAGAAGAATGATAATGGTAATTTATTGTATGATACATGCTCTAGCGACAAATGGTGGATTTCTAACTTCGACCCGGGACCGAAATCTGACCCTAACCTAAAACCCAACTTGATGAGGATTCATTCATTTATCTATCACTCTTTCTAGTGTGATAAATATTCATGTTTCAATCAAAAGATGTAAGATTGAGAATTAATTAGAAAACAGTAAATAATGCATTCATGTACCGGTATGTTTGTTACTTTTTCATTACAAATAATTTTATTAAATATATACCCTTTCTTGTGAATGATGTGACTCAAATCAAATAGTTTATTTCAAATACCGGTAAAGACTAAACATGGGAATCAGGAAACGATGCATTATGTATTTGTTACAGGCATTCGTTAAATGATATAATTATACAGAGAGAGAAAAAAAGTGCTACAGGGTACAGAAATTTTTTTCTTCTTAGGATACTGAATTAATTATCTAAATTTTCTCTCTTATTGGAAGAGGATTGAGGAACAAGATTTTCTGTCTATTGGGAAGAAATATACAGGATCCAGATGATCTATTTATGAAATACCTACTCCTCTTTGGAGATGGCTTCCTTTCTGAATCTCATTTCCCATCTCTGTGTTTCCATTGTATTTTGTGTAGGTTGGTGGTTTGTGACTGTTCATGATCAGCATGGCTGGGCTCCAGGGACCTTCCTGCAGAATCCTGATGGGCAGGAGGAGGAGGATGAAGAGACACTCATACCAGGAAACGGTAGGACCTTAAAGACACTCAGTAGTTAGCTCTCATGGGGAATTCAACACCATTCAGATGTTTGCCCAATAAGAAGTGCTGTCAATCACCAGAATTAGCCTTCAGTTTTATGACCATCAGGCCTTATGTAACGTACTGCGTTTTCCATCCATTCCCCCACATGGTAAAGTCATTATCTGACTTTTCCTACACCCGGGGATCTCCGAGAGACGAGGGGGTATTTCTCGATTGGCCTACGGGTTCGCTATGTGCGGACCTAATACCTGCACACACATTAATAATTTGTGTCCACCAAGTCTGGTGTCAGCGAATTATGGCTTCTGCACATGGAAACTGACGAGTGACTCCCTTTAACATCAGTCAGGGCAGTAGTACAAACTATTCTCACGAGCTGTACGTTTTGAACAGATGGACACCGAGGCAATTATAGCCAATTGTTTTATGGCTGTTTTGTATGTACCAAGGATGGATATTGTACTAGTGCCTGAATGTAGGAAGGGTATCATTTTGTGGTATGAATAATCAAGTGGTAGTGTCGATCCTTGTTATTTGAGAAGTTACCCTCATCCTGAATTTCATTAGAAACTAGAGTTGGCTTTCAAAGTGTTTTATTTCGATCTAGACAAATATCTAGCAGACCATGCAAAAAAATGGTTGACTGGTCATTAGAAAGTACTAATTACTGTTTTATGCATTAAGAAGATTAAATGCCTGGTCATATATCTACCCTTGTCAATCATAAAGAAACAAACCTATTACTTTCAATCAAATTTTGGAAAGCACTCAAATCCTAGTGGATCGATCTATTAAATCAGTTTCAATCTAGTTTCAAGTGGCTTTTATGAGTAAAATGCTGTCATCAATATGTACCCATTTAATACTTAATATTCAAATGGTATTCAAGTCTTAAAGGTATAGACCAGTTTTGGAAACGCCCCTTCTCAAAGAATGAAATGGAAGCTCTTATTACCAATCATGTGGAAGAATATGTTTTGACTAATACGTGATGATACAAATTTTGCCGGGAAACCGCCTACTAATTAATATATTTGGTAAATTATCATATCTATCCGGCCTGGATAGATAATCGCGTATTCCCATATACATCTTTCTGTGTACAGTGCTTGTAACTTTACCAAGACTGGGCCAAAATTTCTTATCATTTTGATGATTCCAGAATCTTGCAGTCCACACCAGTACTTATTTGCTTTATGATCAACCTTTTCTGATCGATCCCACACCGTTTCTTTCTCAATGCAATCACATGACCAGAACTGATCTATACCTTCAAGGACTTATGTGAGAGATTAAACCTGTATTTGAAGTGCTCCTTAATTGATGGTCATTATTTCATATTGATCAGTATGGCACAATTGAATCAAATTGTGCTAAAATGACATGCACTGCACACAGAATTAGGTATATGGGGCCACATACACACATATGTGGCATTACATGTTGAATATGATGGAATTTGAAGACCAATCCTTCTCAGGGAACATGTCTGCTATGTTATTCTTCCAAACTGATATCCAGTCAAAGCTGTCTTAGCGACCCCCTCTCTATAAAGACCACCTTTCTACAGTGGCCATTATTCTGTTTCCCTTGGGTGACCTTTATAGACAGGTTTGAATGTACAAAGAATGAGTAAGCTCACAAAAGTATGTACATCTTCACCACAACTTCACCTTTTCTTTTGGTGAATAAACGTGCTGTATCTTCATTTGATTTGATCTGGGGGGTGTTTCATGAAGCCGTTCGTAAAGTTATGCATGACTTTACGAACGACTTGAAAATGAAGTGCCAGATAGGATGCCCAAAGTTTTCCTTATGTTTTAACAAAGTGTGACTTTATTTCCAATAACCTCAATTAAATTATGGCAAAAATATACTTTGCATTAAGAAAGGTTTGTTATAATAAGAATGTTAATCTACATCTGAACAGGTAAACGTGTTGGTGCAGTTGAATGTGATTAGCATCCCATTTGGCTTTTCATATATAAGTCGTTCGTAAAGTCATGCATAACTTTATGAACAGCTTTATGAAATACCCCCCTGGTTTATTTTTCTTGAGCAGATGAGAGTTACATCACGAACAACGCCTACCAGGGACAGGCTGAAGATGAAATATCGTTTGAGACGGGCGTGGTCGTTACCGTTATCCAGAAAAGCTTGGATGGATGGTGGAAAGTCAGGTATGTCATCGTAAGATTCACTTTCTCTTTTCTAAAAGGAAGACCTCACCTCGATAAGAAGAGTGAAGCGTCGAGGTTCAATCCCCTGCTACAGCACATATGAGTACTTGTACATCCTTCAACAAGTCATTAAAGGCATTGTTTAACAATGTTTCCACTTTTAAAAATCTGATATGCATGGCCCTACGTGTTATCAGTGTCTGTGATATAATGTAATATTGAAGCCAACAAAACTTGCGCTTCAAAAGAATCATGAAGTGCTTCAAAAAAGTAAAAACCTTTGAGTGACTGGTTTTATCATACTCATTTTCCTCAATAGACTGTAGTGTTGTAAAAACCTTTGGTAAAAGTGGTTTTTGTAATTTCTAATTCCGAACATAAATATCTTGATAATCAGACATGCGATCGGCTTGTAAAAGTCATGGGATTCCTGACTGACCAAAAGGTTTATAATTATGATTGCAGCATGAGCTAAACTTAGCTATACTTCAGTGTCAACTCTTTCTGTAATGGTCATCGCTCTTTTTGCAAAACTTCTGCTGAACTTTGGAACAAACTACCTTCACATGTCAGAAACTGTCAGACTGTCAACCAATTCAGAACTTGTCTTAAGACACATTTATTCAAATTTGCTTTTGATAATTAACTTTCTCTGTTCACATTGATGTACATTTCATATGTATTGTAATTTGTAGGTTTATTGGTAATTTTTTTGTTTGTTTAATATGTAATTGTTTATCATTGTATTTTGTTTGTTATTATTATTTATTTATTATTATTATGCGAATTGTTTGCATTCTTTGCTTTATTTGATAGCTACCAGGGAAAGCAAGGGTGGGCACCAGCCACCTTCCTACAGATCTACAAAGGACCATCGGGGGTCACTCCCAAGCATCCTACGCAGAGCATCGGTAATGTGATGCTGCTCAAGAGTGGGAGTGATAGTAAACCCAAACCAGGTCCAGGACCAGGATCTTCCGGTAGACCTCAACCTCCTGTGCAACCCAGAGATGAGCCAGGACAACTCTATTCAAATTGTGAGTATATTAGCCTCGGCTGAGATGCAGAGGGGCGTTTAACACTGCATTATTTCATCAAAGTTAACACCAATTTGGTGCTTATCACATAAAATCATCAAAGAATATTTTGGTGAGGTAATGATGTGACCTTTGCTCCAGTCCTTATTTCACCAAAGATAGCTGGTTTGGCTTAGGGTGAGGAGGCGCGATAGCTCAGTTGGTAGAGCAGTGGTCTCGTAACCCGGTGACCCGGGTTCGAAACCAAGTCGATGCACTAGTTCCCTTTGGTAAGGCATTAATCCTCATTACCAGGTCCCTTGGAGAGGACCTAAAGCCGTCAGCCGTCTGGTTGCTTACTTACAAGCATATATGCTTTCTTAGCTAGCACGTAAAATAACCACCACCACCACCACAATGTGTTCGGGGTTGAAGGTAGAAATTTGATTAGTGTTGGGAAATATTTTGCCGTCAACATTATGTCATTTCTTAAAACGAGTTTTGTTTCCTGTAAAACATTCTTGTTTTTCTTTTTTACCAGATGATGCAGAAGTAAAGCCAACACCCCCAAGGAGAGCTACAGTCAAGGTTAGTACCAGAATGATCACTTTATTTCATTTTTAATGGGATCCCACGATTACTCCCATTAAAATGACTGACCAATCACGAGCCAGTTTTGGTGAATCGATTTTCTCTCAGTTAGCTATGGTTATATATTTTTTTCCCCTGTTTTCTTTTTTCTGTTTTTAAAAGTAATCAGATAGTTATATTATAATGCAAACATAAAAATACAAAAGCAATATAGCAATATAACAATGCTAACATCACATAGCAGTATTACATAAGATTTGAGAAATTAGGTCATATATATTTTTTCATAAATGTAACCCATGCTTCAATTAACATAACTCAATCACTTATTCTAACTTTTTGAATATTCTACTTTTCTTTTTTCAAGTAAAATCTATTCACTTCACATTTTATTTGCAAATTTCCATGCTACTGTTAGATGGCATAATTCTGTAGGTGCAAATGAATAGAGAGATGTAATTTGTTGCTAGCACAGATTTTACATCTGCTGCCATCTTATGTTCAATGATGAGTAGCTTTCATAATTTATAGACTTTTGCATATTGTAAAAGGAAAAGTGAAGCTAAGCTGTGAAATGATATAGATTCAGATAGTGGATTCAATTTTTGTATTAAGTTGAAGAAGGGAAAGAATAGGAAGTAGAAGAAGAATGAGGAAAATCAGGGGGAAGGATAAAAATCATGAAGAGGGAGATATAAAGGAAAGAAATTAGAGCAACTGGATGAAGATGACGGGAGGAAGTTGAAGGATTTTCATAAGGATAAGGTGCAAATATAATAATAATATAAATAATTATAAAATTATAATAAACTATCTGTGTATAACCCTTAACACAGTGCATAAGTATGACCCTATAGATGCGTTTGGAAGTAAAAGTAAAGAGAAGCAAAGAGATAACGGGTCACTGAGTTCCTTTTATCTGTTATACATTTGAAATAAGTGTGTTTTAAGATCAGACTTAAACTTATCTATAGTGTTATTGTTTCTAAGAGGGTCAGAAAGGCTATTCCTTAAAATTGAGGCTGCACATGCATTAGAAAAGATATATTTTTTGTGAATATCCTCTGTAGATTGCTTTAAATTCTTTCAAACATTCTTTCAAATATTCTTTTTCCACATGCCTAACACCCAGCTTACGGATAAAACTAACCCAAGTCATCAGCAGGTATAAAATATGTACTAACATGTGTGAATGTCAGGTAATCCATAGTGTTTGTGAAAGTCTCTTTAGATCAAGTTTGCCCTGTGATTATCCCGCTCTCCACCATCCATTGTCTTTTTTTTTTCGTTCCGAGTTTCTTAGATGCATCAATATACCTCACATTTACAAATTCTGTATGATGAAGCAGTTTTATCAATGGTGTACATATTAGAAGCCATGATACAAGAATTTTGCAATTATGGCAGTTGGTGATAAAAATTTAACACTCTGACGTTGAGTTCTTTAAAAATGTAGACATTCTAGGGCATACTTTGGGGATATGTTCAACCTTTAAACTAAACATGTTTGTGTGGGTATATTCAAGATGTAGAGAATAGTTTTTTTTTTTTTTTTATTGTTTATCCCTATGACTTTCTCTTACTTTGTGGCTTACTGCTAATGTCAAAGTCGAATCTAATTATGTAATTTCCAGTTTCTGTAAAAGAAATCATCATAAAAAATGAAAAGTCTCAAGTCTGCTTTCCATAACTCTAACAAATCTGCACCTTTGAAATTGTTTTTAGTGAACCATAGCAACATCTAAATGCAATGTAATATCAATTTCATAATTATTATCATTATCATTATCATCATCATCATCATCATCATCATCATCATCATCATCATCATCATCATCATCAACAACAAAACACCATTTTTGTATTCCCTTGTTTCCAACTATAGCAGAATTAGAATTTGATGAGGTTTAGAACCTTTATTTGAATTTGCATTGTATTTGTGTTGATTGTGCTTTCGTAAAAGTTGACCACACCATGCAGTTTCAGAAAAAGCATATATTTTTCCATATTTGGTTGTGCATCTAAACAATGGACATGCGTGCAGGTCATATGGTCTTAAAATAGTCTTTGATTGTCCATTTGCCCATTCCTTTGTCTGTACGTGAATCCCGATATACATGTATGTAAGTTTTGTCAAGCTACTTTCCCTTCTTTTTGTTTTCCGTTGCTGTAGAATAATCTTCAAATTTCTTTTGCTGTGATACAACTAACCAGAAAGTGTGACCAAAAAATAATAATATATAGCGCTTAATACATCTACGATGTCTCTAAGTGCTTTACAGATATACTATTCAATTTGATTTGTTTTATTCATTTCCATTTTCAATAAAAACAATACAAAGATATATACAATGATAAGCATTTGCAATATATAAGAAGATAAAAATGGGGAATTATTTGGAGGCATAGTTCCCGAACAGTAGTTAAGAGATTTTATACATGTACAAACAAAATTAAAAAAGAAACATACATGACAAAACATGACAGGGACATCATTCATGGGAGGTAATACAAATGGAGAAAAAAATATCAAGGATATTTCTATATAAGATGCTGCTTCAGTTTTTTTACCCCGGTCAAAAAAAAAGAAGACAAACAAGCAAACAAAGTAACGGTACAATCATAGAATGACGATTCTTCAGATCAAAGTGCTTTTTGGAGCTCAATATTTCTACCTTATAATTCATGAGACTAGGTTGAAAGACGCATTATAAAATCTCAAAGTTTCTGCTTGCGAATGGAATGTTGATTGACTTCCTATACATTTGAATAAGTGTAAATGTGCAAAGTCTTTTGATTTACCATTAATCAATACTGTCTAATATGTGACATAAACTTTTGAAAAGTGAGCGTAGTTCTAATTTATCTGCCCTATCCTTAATCGGTTCATGTCACCTGCATGCATGCAAGCTAGAATGGTACTGAAATGGGATTTCACAGGTGCTCTGTAGAAATTTAATTAGATCGGACTTAATAGCTCCTTGATAGTTCCTTGATCCCAGATTTCCTCTAAGCATTGCCTTTTTGCATATCCGATTTGAGAGATTTATAGTGACTAAAAAGAAAAGTAAGACAAATCAATATCCGTGGAAATGAACCTGCCAGTTCACTAATCTGGCATCTTTGATAGGATCAGTTCCTTGAGCGAAGAGTAGGTGTCTGATTTGCATTCAATATCTATGAATAATTATTTGTCAGGTATGCTTCTAGTTCTGAAAGATGTACAGAATGAAGAAAAAAAAGAAAGAGAAAGATCTGCACTTAAAGGTAAAGACCAGTTTTGGAAACGCCCCCCTCTCAAAAAATGAAATAGAAGCTCTTATTACCTATCATGTGAAAGAATATGTTTTGAATAATATGTGATGATACAAATTTTGCTGAGAAACCGCCTACTAATTGATATATTTGGTAAATTATTATATCTATTTGGACCAGATAGATATCACGCACGTGTCGCGTAGTCCCATGTACATCTTTCTGTGTACAGTGCTTGTAACTTTACCAAGACTGGGCCAAATTTCTTATCATTTTGATGATTCTAGAAACTTGCTGTACACACTAATACTTATATGCTAGATATTAAACCTTTTCTGATCGATTCCACAACGTTTCTTTCACAATGCAATTGCATGACCAGAACTCAACTTTATCTTTAATTGGTAGGAGTGGTTTTAAAATGGAGATAAAGGTATCACACAGGGTATGAATTCTAATACAAAACTCAAACTTTCTATGACGCATGAGCTATTCAGCTGGAATTATTGTACATTATTTTTTGATGAAGTGTCCTCCTTTCTTTCAAAGGGCAGATATGTCTGGTTGGAAGAAACAATGATTAATTCATTGTTCTAATTCCAGAGGGGTTTAGAAATTGAACTAATCTCACTCTTTTGGGGAGAGTTCTTTAGTTATTAATTGCCAAATTGAAAGAGATCAGTTTAGAGCTTTGGGATGTCAATATTTGAAATCTACAAAACATGATTTGTGGGCTGATAAAGTTGACCTCCTTACATGAATAATTGAAAGATAGTTGCAGCAATGACAAGTTCTAACTGTAAGAAGTAAAGACAGCGAGAAATCTTTTTATTGCAAACATATTTCGAAAAGTGATATCATCAAAATTCACTGTAAAAAGTTAATAAAAAAAACAACAACAAAGTAGGAAAGAGCACTTAAATTTTTGGTAAACCCAAGACCAAGTAAATACTTCTACTTCTTCCATAAGTTGTTAGTTGAATAACACCCCATATAATTGAGCTTTAATGCCTTACCGATGAATGGTGTAAGCAGACACACTGATTTGTAGACCACTGTGTTGCATCCCTCTTTTTTTGCATTGATGTTTGTTGTTGGTTTGGTGATGATAAGATACCATTTTCTCTCCAGGATAATGAGAGAGAAGGAGTCTCCATCAGGTCCGTTCTGAGGAGACTCAGGAGAACCAAAAGCTGTGGTAGTGAGGTAGACCAGCATGCCTTCTCTTTTTGCTTGTTGGCCTGTTTGTCTTCTTGTTTGTTTGTTTGTCTCCATGTTTGTTTGTTTGTTTACCTGGATCGTTTTTATCATTCTTGGAGCATGCATGTCTTCATTGCATGGAAGTCACTCCTCCGTGTAGCCAAGTTTGTTGCATAGCAGCTTCTAAAAGTGGTAATTTGCTATTCCCATTTTGAGGCACTTCATTCTTTAGTAATTCATTTTTGTTCTTGTTTTGTTTGTTCTTAATCTTTATCAACAGACAAATCAACGTGTCTCTGAGTTTTCATTTCAGAAACAATTTCAATCTTAAGATCTTCACAACTGATCAAATCCTCTGGGACTTAAAAATTTATCAGTAACAAATGAATCTTAAAACTAAACAGGTTATTCATCGAAAATGCTCCTATTAAAGCAAACACTGTAGGGGTTGTGTCTAACCCCCATTGTGCTATCCCAAACTTTGAAATTAATAAAATTGTATTCCTTTTAAACTCCACAAAGCATTCCATTTTAGTGTGCATTTATGGGGTATAAAAAGATTAGAAAGGGTTTTGACTTGATATACCCCTTTAAGTCCAGTAAAAGGTTCTGGCACCTTGAGAACCTGCTAACAACCTACAGGCAACCCTTACGCAACCCTTGCATAAAACATACAATTACTGTAAGAGGCAAGTTGAGCAAAATTGAGGTTAGAATGGAAGGAGGATGAATGTAAAACCATTGACTACTGAATTCTTTCTCTCTCATAGGTTTAATACACGATCCACCAACCTCCTATAGCTTATGAGTTAAAGAAAAAATGAAGAAAAAAACTATAGGAGGGTCCAGCAAAGCAGTAAGCCAGCTGATCGCCCTTGCCCTTAGTATATACAGACTAATCATCTTTGTAAATAATGAATATAATTAAGAGTATAAAAGTAATTGCCAGAGGCGCAATACCTCACTACGTGTCATAGAGTACCTTCATATCTGCAAGTCTGCTGAATGTAATTATTGTAAGTTAGCTTTATAAAGAGGCATTTACAATTTTGTCCATATTTATGAGCTCAAGATATTCCACCCCGGCGATAAACCTAATTGTAAAGTCCAAATGAATGCTTCCTCTGTACAACTTACTTCATTCCATCACCACTTTGTTTTAGCTTGGGTTACATCCATTTTCATGAAAATGCGCTTCCACATACATGAAAGGTTGGGTAAACTGAATGCAAATAATCACAATTTTTTCATTGATGGTCTTTGAGATAAGGCTCATCTTTTTACATGTACATTTATGAAAACAGTCCATACAATCAGAAAATGAAGCAGTGTTAATCACTGGCCTATTGATGAACTCTTGTGATTATTGATCTCATATTAAAAGTGTCAGGTCGACACTCGAGACACAAGTTTGTGTAGATATGCTGTAGGTTTTCAGAAATTAACGTGTAAACTAGACCTGATGCTTTGACGATATGATGGGCATATTTCACAAATGTTACTCCCAACTCTTTGGGAATTAGGGCTTGATTATTCATGAAAGATTGTATCACCAGAAGACCAGACTGAATGAAGAAAGCACTCTGTGCTGGCTATAAGAAATATAAATTTTGTTTATTTACATGGATGCATTTTAAAGAGAGTTAAAAGGAGAAATGTTTATTAGCCTCGTGTACTTCTGCTTCGTTAATGACGAGTTTGTTACAATGACGGAAACATATGATGTCCAGAGAGCCTTGTAGTGAAACAAATGTGCCCTGTACAAGATTTGAAAGGTTTGATCCTGTGAACCAATATGAAGACATATTCTTTCAATGAACTTAATTATTACTCAATACTCTACAGCTGTATGTATGTTACATTGTATGTGTGCATGTTTTCCATACTTCCACATTGTGTGGAAACTTTTACATTGTTCTGCCTAATAATGACTTCACATTAGCCGAGGTATCGTCATAAAAAAGCCATTTCATGACAGATCTGTGTGGTAAAGCCATGTTCAAACTTCGTAAAATGCCTTTTAAAAATTCTGCTGCGAAATAAAAAACATTCTATGGTGTAAAACTGTAAATGAGTTACTAGTATGATATGAATAAGATAAAGTTCCATGACAGTAAGACCCATAGTTTGCTCAGTGTGTTAATAGTATATACCGGTACAGATTTGAGATGTGCATTATCCTAATACCGGTACCTCATATCCTGTGCCTGTTTTTTGTTGTTGGTTTGTTTCATCCTGTTTGCATGAGGCTGCATCGTGAGTTTTCAGATCCCACTGTGTTCATCTAGACACATTCACTTGTCATCTTTCATCGTCACTTCTTTCATGCATTTTGTGACCTCTTGTCTGTATGATACTGAAGTAAAATACAAGTCTGTATGAAGTAGTTATCCTTATTTACAGTTATCTTCATTTTATTCTCTTTCAGAAATCAGTTCGGAGGGGTGGGGTTCGCCAGACGAAGCCCAAACTCAAGAAGGTGATGGAACACTACACCACAGATAGCTTCCAAGGTGCTGCAGGAGAGGGGAGCATATCGTTTGAATCAGGACAAAAAGTAGAGGTAATTCTTTGAGATGAACTCTCCTTTTTCCAATTTTGATAATGCCCAGACATACTTCAGATTAGTAAATAATGATTGCTTATTGGAGCAGTTGATGGAATATACTAGACCACCTCAAGCTTCTAAGGTGTCGCAGGAAAGGAAAGCTTATCGTAACAAAGAGGCAAAAGATAGAGGCAATTCTTTTGATAACCCCCCCCCCCCCCCTTTTTTTTTTTAAATTGCATACCTCTCAGACATATATTAAGTTATTAAATACTTTTTGCTAATTGAAAACATGAAAATAAGCATAACAGAAGCCTGATCTTCCTTTGCTTTAAAAGTATGAATAAAAATCATTGAGTATCACCATAAAATACTTTATACTTTATAATATGCTTTATACTAATCCATAATTATTTCTAATGATGTGCATGTGCTCCAGATAAAATAAAGGTCATCTTTGAAAATCTGACATTCCCATTCTGTTCATCTCCCATTTCTATCTATTTAATTCTTTCTTTAATTTTGTTCTTGTTTATCTTTTCCACCTGTTTCTTTCTCTCTCTCCATCTTTCTCCCACCCTTCCTCTGTCAATAATTGTTTCATCATCATAGTTTTAACAAAATTTTATTCCTATCTTCAACCCTTGACAAAACGTTACCTAACTCTAATCCCAGACAAAACGGAAAAGCCAAATAGTGACACTAACCTGCAAGCTTTGACAAAGTGTATCCCCGAGCACACGTTGCTGGTGCAAATGTTTAACCATCACTTTGAGGGGTCAGTGACAGAAGTAACTCCATTTTGGCCATTTTGAGAAAAAGTGGTTAATGTGTCACTGAGCACTTGGGCCTTAGGGAGTTAAGTAGTATATAGGTAATAGGGAGGTAATAGTATATTTGTAAAGCGCTTAGAGACATTTGTATTATAAAAGCGCTATATAAAGCTAAATATTGTTATTATTATTAAGGCTATGTTTCACTAGCCATTTAATTCAATGGGGTGTTGGGTGGAGTTAAGACTTTGTGTTTCCTGGAAAGCCCACATTTTTCTGAACATTTTGATATGAAATACTAATTGTGGCAAAATATGGAGTTACGTCTTTGTGTCACTGAACCCTCAACATCATCATCCTGGCATAGCTGATGCAAGGGACTATCATTTACGTCTTTGTGTCACTGACTTGATCTGTTTTGTGTCTCTCTCATGTTTCTAGGTGCTGGAAGAGAATGATGGAGGATGGTGGTATGTAAAGATGAATGGACAGGAAGGCTGGGCGCCCTCTAACTACATTGAGAAGCGTGAAGTGAGCAGCAGGATCAATGGAAAGCCATCATTAGGTAACCTTGATGAAGAGACAGGGGAGGATAAGGTACCTCCCGTGCTCCCTGCGAGACCGGCCTTTGGTAGCGGTGGTAGCGGTGCTTTCAAACCTGTCGCTAAGAAATCAACACCACCACCTGTCGACCGCTCCAACAGCCCCTCGTTTACTAATCGCAAAGCAGTCACAAACAATGGCCGAGGAGGAGGAGATGGGGTGAGAAGAGGGAGTGGAGGTGTGGGTGCTGGTGGTAATATGATGGCTGCCTTGAAGAAACAACTTGAGAAGTCTTCCGTTGGAGAATCATCGTCTCCTGCCATTCCAGCAAGGCCGGGCGTCGCGCCCAAACTCTCCAAGCCAACGGCCCAACCGTACTGCAACAGAGACGCGGCTTACATCACTACCAGTAGTTACGTGAACGATGAGAATGATGGACTTAGTTTCAAGGAAGGGCAGAGGGTAGAGGTGATCAAGAAAGATGATAGCGGATGGTGGTCGGTCAGGATAGGAAACACGGAAGGATGGGTACCAAATACTTTCTTAGAAAAAATATGAGATCAATAGACACTAGAAACTTTTGTAGATATACACATAATACACAGTCTTGTTGTGTAGTAGAAGCGTGATGAACAATGATACGAGATTCTAAAGATAGATTCATTTCTTCACCGTGGTTTCAGATGAGATATTGAAATATTTTGTTTGCCATCATGTTTATGTTTTGTGATTCACTCAATTGTTTTAATTCATGGAAAACAATTATTATACAATTATAGAATTTATGCATCATCGGAAACAGTACTTTTTCAATTTATTATTGTACATTCTATACCAAAAGGTGCTTTCTCAAATCTATATTTTTGTTAAAAAATCTTGAGCAGTATTTTACAAACTGTTTTCCCCATGACATCCAAAATAGTCTGTGGCTCCTTACGAGTCAAGCTGATCGATGGGAGATCCTGATATGTAGGTACATGTGAATGTTATAGTAAATATACCACCTTAGTGTAATTCAAATTTTAAGTAATACAATGCTTCGACCAATCAACCTATTAAAGGAAACTTCAATAGGCCTGTCCAGCATCTATAGGAATGTACAAAGGTTACATTGAGGTATTACATAATACAAACATGGTTTCTATGGGATATACAATGGGCCTACCTGTGAGTTTATTTCTTGAAAGTCTCTGCAATCGTGCTCGGTATCCAATACCACTTCAATTAATCCCTTCTCACTTTTGATATTCTACGATGTAATGTAGGATTTTATTTAGTTTTATATAATCTTTCTTTTTTCACTAAAAATTGAATACTTTGCATTTTTCTTTAATTTAAGCTCATAGTTGGAAGCATTTTTTTGGTTTTTGTTACACTGCGCATCTCATATTATATTGCAATTTTTTGCTCATCATTTCAGATGGACTTGTTTGTTTTGTATGTGCTTACTGTTCTACATGTATGTCATTGAAATTTTGATACACTGTACATGCGTTACCCGTGTAGCTGAAGTCTGTATAAATACTAGTTTGTAAATCTTTCATATTCTTTGTACATATAATCCTGTCCCGGATATTGAACTATCACATGCACAGATATTTTGAGAATTTAATGTAACTGTCTTTCAAAATAAAAGCTTTATTGTTAGGGAGAGGATTGTTATTTGCTACTGTACAGATCCCGAAGTGTTTAAACATTTTCGTGTAATTTGTGTATATGCGTCAGAAATAGGATTGATTTAACTGATGGAAAATCAGTCGTTAAGATAAAAGTAAATAATGTTTTGTTTTCATATTGTCATACAAAAAGTAGATATGGATTATATATATCATGTTACACATTCAGTTTTGAAAGGAAGAAAAATTATGCGAAGTTATGTTTGATACACTAAGCAGTTATAACATTTAGCATGAATGTTTCCTTCATAAAGATTTATGTGTATCACTATGCATGATGGGTGAAGAAGTAAAGGAGAAAAATCTAAATAATGTACTTTTTTTTTTGTAAGAGTTAAATATTACCTGTAACTCATTAATGTAATTTGTAGTACTCAACTCACATCCAAAGGTACTTCGTACTAACACAGAGTTCTTTAATCATTTTCTCAAATAATTGTAATTTAAGATCACTGTGACTGAATAAAAAAGAAGAAGTTATTTCAAGATTGTTAGATTTATGAGGGTTATCACTTTTAAAATGTTGTCACATAGTTGTATGGATATGTACATTTAAATCATTTATATATATTAAGTTATTTTCATGAAGCGTTGCATCTTGTACATTATGACATAAAACCCCCTTAGACATTCATTCATTTAGCTGTATTATAATATAAACATTTTAGAACTGTAAACCACGGTAGATACATGATTGGATTAATAATTGGTTTTAGGCAATCGCATGTTGTTGTATTACAATGAAATCTGAATATAAAGATTAGACCCCTCAAACAAGGGAGAAAAGAAAAGTGTTCTTCATAGGAAGGTGGTCATTATGTTTGGCTACCTTTAGTATAATAGGTATTAATGAGAAATTATTTCCAAGGGAAAAGAGTGATGTGGTCTTATAGACAAATTGTCTTCCTATCAGGTGGTTGATATAGCACGTTTCACTGTGTTTGACATTCAATGTTCACCATACTTGAAGAGGTGAGTGCAAGAAATAGTTGCATTCTGTAGTGATGATTATTCTTAACCCATAGCTATGTGAACCAAGTAGTCCCTGTATTAAACCTATGTGAATCTCAGACTTCAGAAGTCAATGGCTTAACTAGTCTGGAAGTGTAGAGAGGAAAAGCCATTTTGTAATTTCAACTGGAAAGGTTCTTAATGTTTAAAAATTCTTCTCTATTCAAACTGATAGGTCAGAAATCATGTCTAAATGTGAAGAAAACAATAATCATGAGCAACATTCCTTTATAAATTGTTGGTTCCTATTAAGAAAATGTGTGGACCTTCATCCCAATTTTGTACAGATATTATGTTTATGCTGATACCAAATTAATGAAAATTCCAAATCTATTCCAAAATTATGTGCATTCTGTAGTGACAATTATCCAAAATCCAATTGTAAATTGATTTGAATATCATGAAAAAGACACGCTAAATTTGTCCTCATGATATTTTTGCTGATTACTGTAGTTTGGGTCTAGGGTACATGTAGCTGCTTATTTTCTAAAAGTATAGACTGTATACTGTTGGGCTTTCATATTTTCTACCAAATAGAGTACATTGTAGTTTAAAATATATTATCTTTTAAAGCCCCTCTGCACTAGTTTGGCATGGAGGGATTAGACCTCCCTGCATGGTCACTGGAAGGTGGTTATCTCATCAAATCAGCTCTCAATTAACATAAGAAAAAAGGCATCATAGGGGATCAACAGGTACCACTTAGGCATTGTTGGCTTTATAGAGGGCGCAAGTAGCTATAAGTAGTGCAGTGGGGCTTTAAAAGCTTGAAGACTCAAATATATATTTTATACAGAGCTAATGCCATTCTGGGTTTCAACATACGATAGTATTATAACTAAACATGTATTGCTAGCATTTATAAATCTCAAACAAATTAGATAATTTTGTACATGGGCCATCACTTTTGGTTAAAATAGCATTCATTGTTATTTTCTATTTTTGTATCTGTGAGCATTTTGGAGATGTGGGCAAATGAAGAGATGTCCCTCATTAGAATGCACATAATGCTTAGGAGAGAGATCTGAGATGGCTTAGAGTGAGGGTACCTTTGTGCATGTTAATTGGCAAGAGATAATTGCATTATATCCTCATTATCCTGAGATTATCATATGTATGTCAATTATTGGGCAGGTATGACGTCTGTGATTGTTGAAAATCCCTTCTTGTCAGAAGCAAGTTTTTCTATTATCTGAGGTGAATTCATTCCAGAAGATTGGATGTTTTTCATCGTCAAGGTAGAGGCTATGATGTGCAAATAATTATCTGTCAAACATTGGAAGTGTTTGATAATAGTTTAAGTAGCCTTTCAATGATGAGCTATAGATATATATTTACTATTATGTTTCTTTGCAAAGGTTGTGAAAAATCAGTGTATAGCGGGTGATAAACTTTTTTAAATAGTAAGCAATACATCTTTTTCTTCTAACAGAGTGAGATCAACGCAATGTTCTGCTTCTATAGCCATATACTTATCAAAATGCTTTGAGTGGTAGGAGGGTTTTATAAACATCATCTTCTTCTCATTTCTGGAAAAGAAGTGGAATTTCTTTTTTGTATTGATGGTCATTTTAATTGGCCGAAGATACACTTCTCCAGACAAATATTATGTAAAGTATAGCAGATAGGGTTTGCAATTCTTTAGATAGGAACACACAAAGCACTGCCAGTGATATTCTATATTTTATAGACTTGATATACTTTATATTGTAGGAATGGTCTTACTATGAGGGTGTCAAGCAGTTTATACCCTTACACTCTTATTTCCACGGCGTCAAATTTCACTCTAAATGGCGTCAGCTGGGAGTCAACTCTATTCCTAGTTAAAGTGACACGGATTCCGAATCAATTTGACTCGGATTGTGTGGCATCAGCTGAGAATTGACTCAATTCAGAGTCAAGATGACTCCTTTTCCGTGTCACTTTAACTAGGAATAGAGTTGACGCCATTTAGAGTGAAATTTGATGCTGTGGAAATGAGAGTGTACCCCTGTAATAGTTTTATAATATGGAATGAATTCTCCCTGCATAGCAATACATGAGCCTTATTCCTTAATAATTATAAGTGTTAGTATTGTTTCCCTTTAAACTGAAGTGAAAGGTAGGAGGTGTATACTCCTCTTTTTATTCACACTGTAATGATATTAATTAGAACACACTGCATGGGGCTGTTCTGCACAATAATCATTTCACAGACAGGTTTTGTTTGTGTTCTAGGGTTCATTTTTGTTGAAGTAATATTCATCATATTTTTACCAACGATGCACGAGGTCATGTTACTCTCAATAAAGCCTATACAGTACATTCCCACCAAGTATCACAGTCTCAACCTCACTTTTTTTGTGTTGACTTGTAGTTCTTCGACTTGTACTTACACTTTTTACCTTTGAACGTTTCAATGTTTTAAATTCAATTCATTTATTTTGTATTTCTCTTGGCAGTATAAAGACAAGGCATAAATTCATAATGACAAGAAACATACAAAGCAAACAACAGAGTCCATATACTAGTTTGATGAACATTTCGAATTCATTTCATAGTCATCGCCGTTGTTCTACAACTTATATGATATAAACCTGAATTTTCTTACCTCTAAATCAATGATGGCCGTTTTATACAGAAAAAATATTGAATTTGAAGGAAAAATAATGTATAGAGTTACTTAGAGTAATATAATTCATTTGACCCTTTTTCATCCTAAAAAGAAATTTTAAATTACATTTTCTTGTCTTTCTGGTTCACAAGTAGATCACATGACATCCTTAAATACGCCCTCGTACGTGTATACCATTTATAGTCTCGTAAAGGAGGGTAATTCATTTATTTTCACGTTTTGACCTCGTACATTGAGAAGGGATGAGAGTTATGTTTCCCGAGGTCTTCGCGTCAAGTAAATCGTTTTTTGTTTTTTTTTTCATTTTGTTTTCGTTTTAATTTCCGTA